ACCTAGTTTGGGTTTTAGCATGCAAGTTAACCTGTTGTGCCGAATTGGTTAAAAAGTGAACCAGAGGCTTCAGTCACAGAGAACACAGCTCATGACATCGTCTCCATGCGGCAAACGTGCGGCACCATGCTGGGCACGTGGGAAATGTTTATGAGATCCCTCTTAGGACTTAGCCTGTGTTAACAGTGTAGAGATAAACATCATCACCCTGACTAATGCCACAGGACCACACAGTACGTCAATCTCACTGGGTGGGGGACCAGCACAGGGACAACTCAAGAGGCTCTGGTAATTTGGGGCCCATTCCTGCCTGTGCTTCCAAATTCAGCTGCATCTTGTTCCTTGACTGGACCCTCACACCTCAGCTGTGGAAGCAGAAGTCTGTGTTCGCTAGCGTTTTGTGAATCCATACCACCCCTGCCTAGTGTTTGTCCATCACTTTACCCTGCCTTCCCACTCTCCTTCATCCAAACACATGCAAGGCAGCCGAAAACACCTCCCTCCTGGCTTGGACTGGAAGAATTGCTCCATCTCACTTTCCCCACTGGCCCCAGCATGAAAGCTGTTGAAAGGCTTGTTCCTAAATGCAGTGCCTTCTGATTTTATCCGAGGGGATGTGAGAGCCATTAGGTTCCTACAACAATCTTGGCTTCACCTAACATGATCCCTTCCCACTGCTTCCCCGAGGATGGCTTCAGTAATTTATTGCTGCAATTAATTTCTGAAGGCTATGATGGACTTGAAGATGCTTCTCCGGCAGGCTCTGCCAAGTGGACATTACTAGCCACTGGGATTATTTAAGTCGCTTCTTTGGACTCCTCCATAATTAATCATCAAGACACAAAATGCTAATGCTCATAAAAGTCTTAGACACAATAAATTTTGTGATTGAGGCCAAGTTTTATCTAATTTTCCTCCAAGTCCATTTCTGTAATTATAGGACATTACATGGATGCTCTGTTTCTGGGAGTGTTTGCATGTGAATACCACCTGTGTTCAACACAAATTGGATGGAAGCTTAGGTCAGTGGTCCTCAACCTTCCTAATGCTACAACTCTTTAATACAGTTACTCGTGTTGTGATCAACCCTAACCACAAAATGATTGCATTGCTACTTCATAACTATAACTGCGCTGTAACATGGAGGGCAGGCTTGTCCCGCCTGGTACCCCACAGCCAGCAAGCCCCAAAGAAAATCACACAGAGAGTCTGCATTAATTATAAACTGATTGGCCCATAAGCTCAGTCTTCTTATTAGCTCTTGTAGCTTATATTAACCCATTATTCTTATCTATGTTAGCCACATGGCTCAATACCTTTCAGCTGGGCAGGTTACATCTTGCTTCTTGGTGGTCTGGGCTGGAATGGGAGGAATGGGCTTCCTCCTTCCTAGCATTCTCCTGTTCTCATTGTCCTGCCTCTACTTCCTGTCTGGTTGACCCACCTATACTTTCTGCCTGGCCAGTCAGTGTTTATTTAAAACATGATTGACAGAATACAAACAATTCTCCCACACCACTGGGCTACTGCTATGAATTGTAATATAAGTATCTGATAAGCAGGATATCTGATATGTGACTCCTGTGAAAGGGTTGCTCAGACCCCAAAGGTTTGAGACCCACAGGTTGAAAACCACTGCCTTAGGTGAAAACTAAATATTTCACGCCTAAGACCCCAAAGAATTAGATTTCATAATCTGTATTTTAACTTTTAAGTCACCAAGGCTTATGCTCAACTTAAGTGACGTCACAGGTCCCATTTGTGGCCACCCTGCTTTGTGTCTTCTATTAAGAGACAAAAATCTTGGCTCCTGTGATATGAGTCTCATTTTCTCATTTTCTAAAAAATCACAGATAAGGAGAGAAGTAGCCCAGGGAGACCAAACAATTTGTGTCAAGTTATGCAGTTTGTTGATAATAACAGCGAGACTCGATTCTCAACTCATAAGCCTGGGGAAATGCCAAACAGTCAGGTATCTAGAGAAGAGAACTCAAACACGAATGCCAATGCGGTCTCTGTGCTACTGATAGAGAGAAGCATAACATACACTTGTAAAGTAAGAGCGAGAGATAAAATATCCCTTATTCCAAATGTATAGAGCCAGTTGTTTTCCGTTTCACTGTTTTCAGGCTCCTGCTGTGGAGCCCAGCTGCCCCTGGACTCATTCTGCAACCCTGGCTGGCCTCGAACTTAAGGTCCTCTTGCCTCCACCTCCTGAGTGCTGGGATTACAGACTTGAGCTACCACACTTAACTCTGATTGACTTTTGTCCAAGCTCTTGCATCCACAGCCAAATCACAGCTTCCAGGGTAGGAAGGCATGGACCATTTCCTAACTAAGCTGAAAACTAGTTTTCTAGACGTCTGTTTCCTTAGGCACACTCTTTAGAACGCAATGCCTATGCGCATTATACAAGTAGAAGTAGGGTGTGCTCGCGTAACACTTTCTCTAAAACTTTCTTAAGTTTGGACAAGTGGCAAAGCATTGTGTAACATTCCCCTTCGTGGAAATACTCCCAGCATGCCAGTCTTCACGTACCAGAGTGCTCATGACCATGGAATTGGAAGAGATGTCATTTCATAGCGTGGGAAGATCACCTCAGTGATACATACAATAACACACAGGAAGCAATGCATGCATTTGTGTTCCTTATCTTTGTTTTGACGTGACTTAACTGTCCAATTCTATGCTTTATTTTTGATAATGTCTATATTTAACAACCAGCTTAGAAAATCCTTGCCATTTAACAATCAGGTCTTACAGTGTGGTACAAGCCTCTCCTGCGCATCTCAAAGAGACCTCTAAAACTTCCCCTTCTCCAAGAAGCACAGCTTCAACTTTACATAACACTGTGTCCTTACATTCTTCAGGGTTTGACCCCAAAATAGTCAAGCCCAGGTCTGTTAGCTTCCACAGCTGTGCTCTGCTCCCTTCCCCCAATCACCTACTTCTCCAGAAACAAGCACCCTGGCTAGAAGTGGGAGCCCTAATGGAAAGGGGAGGACCAGTCTCTTTGCAGAGAATGCTGAGTACAGCACTGGCCACCAGAGGGCAGACATGTCACCTCCCAGTGAAAAGCCTCCTCACACTTGGAGGGGAAAAGTCCTTAAGATAGGCCTGAAGGGTCCTCTGGTCTGACTGACAGGAAACTCTTCCCAGCTTTGGAGAACACCTGTGGGCTATGTCAGAATAGCCAAAAATCCCCTCTCCAGCCTCCCACTGCACAGCAGAAACAAAGTGTGTGTGTATTAGAAGCTGTGCCTCAAAGTTTTTTTTAATAAATAATCATTTTTAAAGATAGGAAGTATGCCTTGATGTGCTCTAATTCATGTCTCCCACACACAAATTCTGAGGGAGTATCAGAAATCACCCATTCCTCAGCCCAGCAGTTTGTTTCATTCCTGCTGGCTGAGCCTATGGTGAACCCTGGGAGCCAAGGCCAGGCTGGAGGTGTGGTTGGGTAAGTAGAATGCTGGCTTAGCACAACCTAAGGTCCCAAGTTTGATGTGTGCACTACTAAGAAAAACAAATTGAAAGGTCAGTCCGAAAAAAAAAATCCACTCCGAATCTTACCTTTTTATTATTATTATTATTATTGCAAATACCTGACCTGTTAGGTCTTTATTAAACAAGGTCCCCTGATGGAAAACAAAGAACCTTGCTGGATTTTAGCCCAGTTGCCACAAAAGCTGACAGCTATGTGGTGAGTTACTTCACCTGCCTTTGCTTGCCCATAGGTCACCCAGACCACTTACCTCGTGAAATGTTGATAGCTAAACCAGCAGCGTGGGGAGGCCCCTGGCATGGGTGGTTTGTCAGCATGCATGCCTGCCTGCTGCAGCTGACAGAGTGGAGGGGAGTCCAGGCCTTTGGTTTTTCTATGCTACCTAGGGCAAAGGAAATTCCCTTGTCTAGAGCGTCACAGGAAAGCCATGTTCCACCTGCAGCTGATGGCTGTGTGTGCATTCTTACATCTACACTGCATAGCGCTGCAGCACAAGCCATCCCAGACACAGGTGGCCCAAGGCCACAAGTTCGATACCTGTGATTTGTTGCTATTGTTGATAGAATTGCTACTACAATCTTAAGGGAGGGGAGAGAATCTAAACCATGCTAGAGAAAGACCAACATTTTAATAGAGACCGAGGATACACACACAGAGTGTCAGAAAGATCTGCCACGTTTGCCACAAAAGGCCCTCATAGCTTCCTGGAGTGAGGAATGAAGCTGCAAGCATGAACATCCTATCTAAATTGGCATCACAAGGTGTGGGGCGGTGCCCACTGTCAGTGAGAACCCAAGTCAGCACAGCCATCTGCAGAAACAGTATAGTATTTCCTCTAGAATCTAAAATTAGAACCAGCCTGCGATTCAGGAATCCCACCTGTAGTATTCATCAAGGGCATTGAAACTAGGCTTTTGAAGAGCTGTCTCCACTCTGAGTCTCTGCAGCATAATCCACAAAGCAAACATGGAAGCAATCTGTCTGTGCCCCGCAGCCTGGGTAAAGAGATGGTACACATATATACAATGGGGCTTTATTCAGCCCCACAAGAAGGAAAGCCTACCATTTGTGAGCACATGGATGGACCTGGGGACATTACACTAGGTGAAATGAGACACACTCAAATGAAGCTCTACATGCTGTCACGTACATGACCCTGAAATAACAAAACACAAGGTAGGAGGAAGTGCAAGGTGGTTTCCAGGAGCAACAAGACGGACGATGAGAGAGTGACATTCGGGGATCCTTGAGAGTCGCTCTACTCAGTCTGCTTCCTAGCCTGTGAGATGCTGAATTTCCCCCACATCTCAGACTCTTGAGCGTGCAGTAAGATCCCCAAACTACAGTGTTCAGCACCATGCTGGGCAACTGCTGAGATCCCAATAAGTATCATCAGTGTCAATCAACATAGGAACGGTTTCCATAGAAGCATATGTAAGAGTATTTGATGATAATTTCCACGAGGTTCACTGTTTTTTTCCATCTTGTATTTTAGGGTTGAAATGCACAGAGGAGAACAAGGTGAGTGAAAGCTGTTAAAATGCACCTGTTACTCTTGAAAAGCTCAGGCATGTGGGCACCGGGAAATAAATGTGGCTGATATGTCACTTGAAAAGTTTGCCCTAGGGTTTCGGTTACCATTTTCACTTCCATTTGTAAACCAAAACATTCTTAACCACTGCCTGCCCCAAAACAATGAATTTAACTCCTGGTCCTCTTTCCTTTTGCAGACTCCTGTGCCGCCTCCACGGTAAGACATTTAAAATCATATTTGTGGTAGCGGGGTGATGGTTCAGAGGTCAAGAGCACTGACTACTTTTATAGAGAAACCAGCATGCTCACAACAGCCTGTAACTTTATTCCAGGGGACACGTGACGCACAGACAACACATGGTCAAAACACCCATACGCATAAAATAAAATTTTTTAAATGTAAATTTTTTTACATAAGCTTAAATGATTTGTGCCAGCTCCTGCAAAAGAGAAGCACAAACATTTGGCCTTGGAGAAGCTAGTCTGTGGACAACAGGCAGCAAGCCTCCATTCTTCCACACCATCAGACAGTTCTTCTACTGTTGGCACACCTCCCTCCTCCATCTATCTTTCTTTCTTAGTATTGGTGTTCAAAACAGGTCACTTCCCATTTTTGACACTTACTTATTTGTGGTGGGTAGTGTGACGTGCCACAGTACACATAGGGAGGGCAGAGAAAAACATATGGGAATTAATTCTCTATTTCCACTTTGTGGGTTCTGGGGATCAAAAATGGGTCCGCAGCTTTAATATCAAGGACCTTTACCTGCTGAGCCATCTCCCCAGCTCGAGACCAAGCTGATCAAGGACACATGTAGCAGGCAGACAGTGTTAAACAGCCTAACAAAAGCCCTTCTGATTACCATAATGTTATCCATCCCCCAAATCCATTTCTAGCAGCAGCGTCTCTACACGTGCTGTTCTTTCTTCCCAGAATCTTGCTCCCCAAATAGCAACATGGCATGTTCCTTTCTTTAGTGAAAACATTGGACAGAGCCTGTTGTAGGTATATCTAGACTCATGAGATCAGGAAAGACCCAACATAGAAATCAGTAGGTCAATAATCAACCAGAACTTTGAGTTTTCATAAATAAATTGATTTATAATTTAAGGACTTACAATGTATGAATATGTGTGCATCTAAGTCTATATGCTCATATATCACATATATTAATGCTTATTATTGCTATGTTTGTAGACACACAGAGGTAAGAGCTGCAGACTGGGCCATCGGGGCCCTGAGTGGGTTGGTGCATGCCTTTGCTCTACTTAGACCAATGTGTCCCTCAGCTAAGCATGTCAGTCACTTCACTCCTCATTCTGCCCTTACATGGAGTGGGGGCTTCTTGGGCCAAGGACTATGTCTATCTTATTTCCTTTTGCATCCACCAAAACACATGATGCACTTTGTGGATCAGCACACAAATGGCTAGAGAAAATGGGTGAAACAGGCTTTTATTGACTTGCAAACGTTTTCATGATTTGGGGGGCAAATTTTGAAACTCAGGTCATCCAGTGTGGAATAAGCAGGAGGTCATTGTTCTCTTTTCCCCAGGCCTCCTGTAGTCTAAATGGGTGGCATATTGAAAAGCCTGTGACACCTGTAGGGCATTGTCGCACACGCTACAGAATGCTGAGAATCAGAGCGCGGTACTCTGGAAGCATGAGGATGCTAAGACTTGAAGACATCCAAAATGGTCCAGGCTACAGAAAGCATCCTTCACACTTGGGCTTCAAACTCACAGCAGGGGAAGGGAGGAGAGGGGGCTAGAGTGAACTCACTGCCTGAGAAAGGCATGGCTGCTGACCTGCTCAATCCTTACCTATGTGACTCTTCCCACAGGCCCACCATCACCCTCCCCAAGAAGTATCAGCCCTTGCCTCCAGCACCACCAGAGATCAGTGCACACTTCTCTCTGAGACATGGCTTTCAAGATGTTCAGAGGGGGCTCAGGTGAGACCCTTGTTACTGTTGTGGTGAAATGACCAGTAGAAGTGGTAGATAGTGGGGAGTGAGAGATAAGAGAAACCAAACAGATCCCCTCTCTGAATTGCACACCACTGGGGGGTGGGGGAGCAGTGAGGGGGAGATGCCTAGAGGGAAAATGGACTTAGGAACCTCATCACAGAGAACAGAAAATGCCAGGAGGAAATCAGGACTCAAAAAAAAAAAATAATGGGTCTAGAAAACTCCAGAAACAATCTAGGACATCCCCCTTGTTCTAGGAAAGCCATTTGTTTGTTCCTGACTGCTCAGCCCCGAAATAATCACACAGAAACCATATTATTTGCAATACTGTTTGGCCAATAGTTTAAGCATATTTCTGGCTAACTCATATCTTAAACTGACCCATCTCCATTAATCTGTGTATCGCCACAAGGCTGTGGCTTACCTTGTAAAGTTCCAGTGTCTGTCTCTGGTGGGGCTACATGGCTTCTCACTGACTCCACCTTCTTTCTCCCAGCATTCAGTTTAGTTTTCCCCACCTAGCTAAGTTCTGCCTTGCTAGAGGTCAGAGCAATTTATTTATTCAGTAAAAGTGACACATAGACAGAAGGAGCTCCCACACCACCCCTTTGCCAGCTTCCAAACACCAACCTGGAGGACATAAGCAAGCTTAAACACACTTCTGCCAAAAACATATGTCAGCCTTGCTGACAAACATATTTGCCAGTCCTCCACCAGCAAGGGGAGTGTACCAGCTGACACTAACCACAAATGTATTGGGAATGTTCTTTCAAGATGGTAGATTTCCAAAAGTCCCTTATTTTGGAAGGGAGGAAGGAGTGTGCTTCTCCTTCCTCTGGCTCAGGATGAATGAGGATTTCTCGTAGAAGGCTGGAGTCAGCAGGACGCTAATGCAGGGACAACACTAGGTAGAATCGGTGCCTTGGGGAATACTGAAATTCAAGCCATCTTGAGCAACCATGAAAAAATCTTCTGTCTGATTCTGATAGGGATATTAGATTGACTATAATTCTGATTCTCCTCCTTATCCTAAATTGTCCTCTCATCTTTTTTTTTCCCTTTATAGACCCATAAAACTCCTCAGTGAAGTAGCCTGTCTTAGTTAGGCTTTTTTTTTCTTTTCCTTTGTTATTGTTGTGTTTTTGTTTGTTTGCTGTGAAGAGACACTATAACCATGGAAACTTTTATAAAGTGGAGTGGCTCACTTACAGGTCAGAAGCTCAGTCCATTTTCATCATGGCAGTGTGCAGGCAGATGTAGTGCTGGAGCAGAGAGTCCTACATCTTTCAGGCAATAGGAGGCTGACTGTCACACTGACTGAACCTTGAGAAAAGAGACCTCAAATACCATCCCTACAGGGACACACACACTTCCTCCAACAAAACCACACCTCCTAATTGTGCCACTTTCTCTGGGGGGCATTTTCTTTCAAACCAACACACTCTCTCTTATCTAGACAGTTTGTCCTTATATCCCTTAGTCTAGTACCTAGAAAAGAACACAGATCTCAACTGTAACTCCAAAATCCATGGTAGAGATTCTGCTTCTTAAGACCTGGCACTGTTTTTTGTATAAACTTAGGGGTTAGAGTTTGACTGGAGGAAGTGGGGTGCTGGCAGGCAGGCATTGAGGATACAGGTTTACGGCAGCTGTTCTCAACTGTAGGTGAGTTTATCCTTGCTCTGGATAGGGACAGTCCACGATATTTAGAGAAACATGGAGGTGGGACCACTTGGAGGAGAGGCAGGGAGGCTGCAGGGCATCTTACAATGGGCAGCAGAGCCCATCACAAAGGACAGTGGATCGTGCCTTAGGATGTCCAGCAACATACTGTGTAGACCTTTGCTAAAGCTGAGGATGAGAAAAGAAGGGTTCTGTGTTGCCTCCCACACACCCCACAGGCTAGTGTGAGCAGTTCAGAAAGCAAACTATGTGGGCGTCTTGATGAGGTGCACACAGGCAAAGTCCCAGAGGAGACTGGGGACATGGTCATGAACAAGAGGGTTTTATTACAGGAGAAAGCAGTGCTCTCAAATTCACTTCCGTTCGGACCCTCCTGAGTAGCCAGATGTTACTGATAATTCAGGTCACATATAAACCGTGCGGCCACCGCTGTGTAAACGGTGCCCTGGAGCTCTGAGCATCAGCCGGGAATACACAGGATGCGGTGCCTCTCTTCTAACAGCGTCTCTGTAGGTACTTGGGAAAGAGGTGCCCAAAGGCGGAGCTGTGACTCCTGGCGCCCCGGGTACCAATTGCAGGCAATGAAGTGTGTGATCTGCACCGTTGCCTTTGCGCCCCCTGGATGGGAGGTGTGGTTCCAGCTATTGTCTTTCAGCCCCTTTTGTCTCTATCAGCTCTGCCACTCTCTCTTTTGCAGCTAAGCCTTGACTTCAGGAAACAATGCTGGGTAGAAGCACTCCTGAGAAGGATGCTGCCAGTTAGGTCACCTGTCAACAACCGAACACTAGAGGGGAACTTGACATTGTGAGGACACTGGCTGGATATTTTCAACGGATGTTATAAAACTGACAATATCCACACACTTTTTTTTATTTTGCTCAACTTATTTTTTTCCAATTAAAATATTTTTTTTTCCTCAGAAGAGATACTTACATTCCAACTATAAACAACTGCAACACAAGCTATTTCAAACCAAAACTTTGGATCCGGAGAAATCTCTGTTACAAAGGAAAATAACACATGTTGGAGAGGCATCTGGGACTTTCTTTTTTTTATTTTTATTTTTTTTATTTTTATTTATTTGTTTATTTATTAAAGATTTCTGTCTCTTCCCCACCGCCGCCTCCCCTTTCCCTCCCCCTCCCCCAATCAAGTCCCCCTCCCTCGTCAGCCCAAAAAGCAATCAGGGTTCTCTGCCCTGTGGGAAGTCCAAGGACCACCCACCTCCATCCAGGTCTAGTAAGGTGAGCATCCACGAAACTGCCTAGGCTCCCACGAAACCAATAGGTCCAGTAGAATCAAAAACCCGTTGCCATTGTTCTTGAGGTCTCAGTAGTCCTCCTTGTCCGCTATGTTCAGCGAGACCAGTTTTGACCCAGGCTTTTTCAGACCCAGGCCAGCTGGCCTTGGTGAGTTCCTGATAGAACATCCCCATTGTCTCAGTGTATGGGTGCACCCCTCGCGGTCCTGAGTTCCTTGCTTGTGCTCTCTCTCCTTCTGCTCCTGATTTGGACCTTGAGATTTCAGTCCGGTGCTCCAATGTGGGTCTCTGTCTCTGTCTCCTTTCATCGCCTGATGAAGTTTAATATTCAGGAGGATGCCTATATGATTTTCTTTGGGTTCTCCTTCTTATTTAGCTTCTCTAAGAACCCGAATTATAGGTTCAATGTCCTTTATTTATGGCTAGAAACCAAATATGAGTGAGAACATCCCATGTTCCTCTTTTTGGGTCTGGCTTACCTCACTCAGGATGGTGTTTTCTATTTCCATCCATTTGCCTGCAAACTTCAAGAAGTCCTTGTTTTTTACTGCTGAGTAGTACTCTAATATGTATATATTCCATACTTTCTTCATCCATTCTTCAATTGAAGGGCATCTAGGTTGTTTCCAGGTTCTGGCTATTACAAACAATGCTGCTATAAACATAGTAGAGCATATACTTTTGTTGTGTGATAAGGCCTCTCTTGGGTATATTCCCAAGAGTGGTATTGCTGGGTCCATGGGTAGGTTGATCCCGAATTTCCTGAGAAACCTCCACACTGCTTTCCAGAGTGGTTGCATAAGTTTGCATTCCCACCAGCAATGGATGAGTGTACCCCTTTCTCCACAACCTCTCCAGCAAAGGCTATCATTTCTAATCCACATAAGCAGACCCTTCCCTTGCCATAACCTTAAAGAAAACTCAGAGGGAAACAACTTTGCGGCTGTGGACCCACTGATATTTTCACTCACCTGTCCACAGACCAGATAGCATTGTCCTGAGTATTAATCAACGTTTTCTGTGTTCTAACTGCACCCAGGCCCCTTGCGGAGTCTTTTTATGTGTGCTCTGGAAATTGAACCCAGCCTTTGCACATGCCAAGAAAGCAACTGTGTGTCTCCATCCCCTCAGGGAAGCATCTGTGTGTACATATTCAGACCACAGCACGAGGAAGGTGCTATTATTGCACCCCATAACACTGAGGGCACAGAAATACGGAGCTTGTTGTACCACGATGTGTCATTCAAACTTAGTGGACTCCATGGGTTGGGGTTTGGGGGTGGAGCCAAAACATGATTTAAATGAAGCAGTTCATATTTAGGACATGAAACACCTGGGCAACTGGCTGGGACTTTCCCTTTTCTACTGGGATCACATCTGTTCAAGGAATACAGTTCACCAAAAAGTATACTATGATAATTTGGGAAGTGAATGAAAGCTCTATAAATATCAAAAAAGCATGGCTTTTTAAAGGAATGAAAGTGTGATTTTCAGAGATATACCAACTCCATTTATGACTGGAAACTAAGGATATGAACGCATAAATTATTGTTATTATCACCATCATTATTGTGTGTTTCATTATATATACATATTATTAATAAATATCACTATAATATGTATTGTTACAATGTTATACCGCTATTAGGAGAAACTGGGTGGAAAAATTCAGCATCTCTCTGAATCAAGTCAGACCATACTGGTCATCCTTTATCAATCTCAGGACAGATTGACAACCAAGTGTGACCATCAGAGTGCCCACAGACGTGAAGTATTGTCTTATTCTAAACAGATTCATGCTTAAGTAGAACTTTCAACAACCCTCTTCCCTACTGTATAAATCTGGGGTTCAGAAAGAAAATTTACTGTATCAAGAAGGATGGCAGAGCCCATAGATGACAGAAGAAGGGTCCTAATAAAATCCATTCAAAACCAAGCCAAAAACCTCATGTCAAGAAAGTCCACCTTTGTAGAAAACAGCAGTGTCTTTAAAGTTGTACTAAGCACCTGTTATATCAGGGGGACAAATGTAAGAACTGTTTTGTGTAGTTTGGGGCCACTTTCTAATGGACCAGCTCTGGCAGCTAGAGCATGGGGAAGTACGTATCCAGATACCAGCGTACCCCACCGGCTCTGCGCAGAAAGGACTTAGAGAGTTCTGGTGTTCTGCCTGAAAATTCACTTTACTAACATGGAAGATCCCAAAGCTCACCCCTGTCCTGGAGCCCCATTCAACTTGTGGGATGCATCAGGGATTTATACATAGAGGTCTTTATCTAACCGGAGGATAGCTGCTCCACCTGTCCTACAAATATAACTGAAGTCAAGCAAGGAAGCATCTGGAATCTTAGAGAGCAAGCTTTGCTTACACAGTCAGTGAAATCCTCTTAAATATTTGAAAGGCTTTTGTAAATTGAGCATATTTGATTTTCGAATACTGCTCATGCTGACAGTGCAGGTTCAAATCCTAACTTCCCTTCACCCTTTCTGTACATCTGATAAAGTCAGTATGTAAATATAAAAAAAATGCAGGCCCTCTCACACAGTTCACACTCTTCCCAGAGCTGAATGCCATGAGCACTGTAACGTAAATCTACAATTCTAGGATCACCTCTATGATTTAAGATGGAGTTTCTGGGTCTGTGTGTGCACGCGCACACATGCACGCACATACACACAACGCATTCAGATTCCTGCAGAAACCAGAAGAGAGCATCGGAGGAGAACTCCCGGAACTGGAGTTACAGGCAGCTGTGAGCCCCCCAAGATTGTGGGTGCTGGGAACCGGACTTGAGAGCAGGAAACACTTTTAATCACTGTGCCTCCTCTCCAGCCTCAGCTTCTGCATTAAAAAAGAGCTATATAAGTCCATTTGCATGTAAGTATATAATGCAATTTGTACACATCACATCTTAATTTAAGCCAGTCCCACAGCATCTTTGACATATCATAATCTCCAGCATTGAAAACATTGAGGTTAGCTCAGTATAACCACAATATAATTAAGAGTATGGTATCGGTTCTGTTTCATTATCCCCGTTCATATCTCTTTTTATCATGAGCCCAAACCATGGGGACCTGGTAAAACATTACACCTGAGGCAGCTTTTGTAGGCTCTGCCTCGTATAGCCCAGGTTGGCCTTAAACTCCTGTGCTTCACGCCTTTGCCACCTCAGTACATGGACTGCAGGCCTGAACCACCATACTGGTCCATGTGGCACTGGGGAGCTAACGCTAGAGGCGATCACTCAACCCACCCTCTAAGCAGCCTCATTGGTTCCTGCTTTCATTTACTGACTCTTGAGGATAATGTAGCTCTGAACTCCTATGTGCAAGTGTTTGTGCATGGCTTTAATTCTTTCGGACATAACCCAAGCACACCATATTCCAAAGCCAAGGAGTGCCTTAGACCTGAGGCCAGCAGCTGAGGCCAGTCGGGCTGCCTTGATGGGGCCAACTCCAAAGGTCTACATGCACAGCTTCTCTCTGAGATTGGCAATGCCATCTTAACCTCGCATCATGCTCATACACCCAAGCAGGTGGGCAATACACCTCACCCCACATCCTCCCCTGGCTGGCTCACCAGTCTGGCCACAATGTGCCATTCTTACCCACTGGCTGCCACCGATTCTTATTTTCATCTCTAGGTGTTCACCTAATAATCTCCCAAGATAAATGCCCTTGCCATTCTGTGAGAACAAATGAAAGTCAGAGGTTTGGAGCCCCGTTCAATTTGTGAGGTACATCAGTGATTTATCCTTGGAGGGTTTATCTAGCAGGAGAGCCACTCCACCTGTCCTATAAATATAGATGGAATCAAGCGAGAGAGCATATAGAGTCTTAGAGAGCGAGATTTGCTTACAGACTCAAAGAAATCCACTTAAATATTTGAAATGCTTTTGTAAAGCAAACATACTTGATTTCCGAGTACTGCTCGTGCTAGCCATGCAGGTTCAAATCCCAGAAAGAACTTCCCTCGTGCTCAGGAGGTAAAGTGCTTGCAGCCCAGCATGAGGATCTGAGTTCAGATCCCAGCCCCCACCTACAAAGCCTGCTGTGTCCACAGACACGCAGATTCCCAGTATCCCACAAGCCGGTCAACGTAGCAGAAACAGTGAGAGACCGGTTTCAAAAGATAAAGTAAGAGAGTAATGGAGGAAGACACCAGTGCCACACCCTGGCCACCACATGTGCAAGCACACACGTACACACACACGCACGCACACGCACGCACATGTACATGTACATGCTCATACCCATACACAAATGAGCACTGGAGGGCTTGTCCACATATGAAATATTTGATGTTTGCTCGTCCAATAGCCCCGTAGTCAGACGCCATATTGGATTGCCTCCTTCCCATTAATTTTGATGGCTTTTTTTCTGTCTCATTCTCCCTTTGTCCCCTGCATTCTTTCTTTGGCCTTCCTGGGATCTTGGTGCCCCTGACAGCTTTGTATTAAAGCTCCCTTTCTCAGAGTGAAAAGCTGAGAGCTTGTTAAGCAGAGGGCTGAGTGAGCTAATGCAACCTGGCATGGGAGCTCAGGTGTCAGGAAGAAGAGGGGGTGACTCGAGCCCTCCTAAAGTGAGAAACGAGTAGTATATTCGTGCGCCTCTTCTCACCAGCTTCCACACTGGCTTAGTGCTTCTCCTTTCCCTTAGAAAACTACAAGAAAAATAGCCTGGTTTCATTTTATAGGGCAGTGATGAATTCACACTGGACTATGGGCTGTTAATTTGGCCATGAAAATGTAATCGGAGGTTTGTAAGGTTCAGAATGATTTTATCTTGCTCATGATAAATTACCTTTTATTTAACACCGCATTTCTTTCTTACTTACTTCCTCTTTTTTATCCTTGCAGGCAGATCAGCTCTAAAGACGTCTGTGAGGTAAGTAGCTGTTTTGTCTAACCAAGGGGGAATTTTGTGTGTTATCTCTGTAAGAAGCAAGATTCTGCTCACCTCAGGCAGCAGGGAGCACAGGGGCTGCCTACTTGCGCTCTCCTTTCTTACTATTATTTATTTTGCCTTCCACTAGAACTTGACATCACCCTAACAACCAGGCTTAGCTAAAACACACATTCTTACATCTTGCCAAGATCTTTTCCTGTTTTTGTCTGAGCTGCAACAGAAAGCCATTTCTCCAGTACGAAAGCCCACCGGGGAGGGTCAAAGCCATGCTGTGGGCACACTAAGCCCCCACCTGGTTGGGTGGTGCAGAGAAGGATCTAGTCCAGTAAGTTACCTGCTCTGACTCAAGCTTACATGGACCTTCTTGCTCTCCAAGTTAGTGCTTATTGGGTCCCATGTGATCTTCACAAAGCCCTGAACCAGTAGTTTTCAAACCTTCCTAATGTTGCAACCCTTTAATACATCCCTCATGTCATTGTGAACCCCCCACCATAAAATTATTTTTGTTGCTACTTCCTAACTATAATTTTGCTACTGTTATAAATCTTAATGTAAATATTTGATATTGGGACCACAGGGGGTCGAGACACACACACTGAGAATCACTGCCTAATCAGAGAAAGCCTGGATAGGAGCTGGCTGCCAGAGCTTCCCCACTTGGCAGAAGACGGGACATGGATCCCAGCATTCTGATCTGCTTCCTACATCTGTGGCTCTGCCCGGAAAAAAAAAATAGAGACAGTGAAAATAAGTTTTTAAAGGTAAAAAAGGAAAAGAAGGAGAGGAGAGGGACAAGACAAACAAAACATTTGTAGATCACTCCACTACGTTAGTTAACAGAGAAAATCAACAAGTAGAACAAGCTAGAGAGATTCCACTGTGCTTTTCTAATTGTGTTTGATTGGAATTGGAGCCCTCAAGCACAACAGTCAGCTGGGCTCCAGCAAGATAAAGCAACAGCCCTCCCAGCAGCAGGCTTCTCATGGTGTGCACGGGCCTCCTTCCCCTTGCCTTTGACAAGCCAACCCAGCACTTTGAACTGCAGAATACTCAGTGGGGAAACTTTCAAACAGCTCGTCTAAAATGGACTCATTACCCTTTATACCTGGCCTATGGATTAGCTTTGATTTGCTATCCACAATACACATACCCTCATCCCAGAACCCCAGAGATGCTAAGGTCTTTAAAACAAAGAAGCCTTCAGTTAGCTTCAAACGAGATGCAGGATGCCTCTCTAAGCAGATTGCTGCTAAGGGCTTTTTGTCTGCAAAATCAAGACGAACCAAGAGAGCTGAGCTCAAGGTCAGTTACTCTCAGAGTAACTCTGGGAACCTGGTTACAGGCGCCACCTTGTAACTTATCTAAAACAGTGATTCCTAATATTCCTAGATTTCACAATTCTTTGAATTTTTCATGAAAGGTATAATAAAGTTTCCTTATGCCCACAAAAGAAAATATGATTTTATTTATAATCAGATCATTTTTACTTCATAAGATTCCTAAGCCATATCATGACTTTCCCATCCCCCAGGTTAATGCCTGTCTTCTCTAGCTGATTCCTCGTGGCTTCTCAGAAGAGGCAATGTCTGGAATAGACGGAAGTTATTTGAAGTGAAGTGCTAAGCCCACTATAAAATTCTCTGCTTCTTCAGGGTTTGAGGGTAGAACCAGGCATGGTGGTATATACCCGCAATCATCCCATCACATAGGGGGCCAAGGCAGGAGGATTTTAAGCTGAGACACAAAATACATACTAGAATCCCATCTCAAAATTTGTGTGTGTGTGTGTGTTCAGAATGCAAGCGCACCCAATAAACATGTAGATTCTTCATAACATTCATGTTGATGGAAGTTTCTGTCCCACCCAGTCCCACAGCCATTCAGTCCCAAAGAAACACAAAGAGGCTTATAACAATTATAAACTGTTGGATCTATTAGCTCAGGCTTATTATTAACAAGCTCTTACATATTAAATTAACCCATAATTATCTATGTTTAGCTACGTGACTTGGTACCTTTTCTTTGTGAGGCATCATGCTTCCTCTGCATCTGGCTGATGACTACAGACTGAGTCTTTCCTCTTCCCAGAATTCTCCTACTCTGGTTACCCTGCCTATGCTTCCTGCCTGGCTACTAGCCAATCAGCACTTTATTAAACTAATACAAGTGACAAATCTTTACAGGGTATAAGAGCATTATCCCACAGCACTTTTCCTTTTTTCTCTTCACAATAAGAACTCTAAATCTAATCTCCTTTGTTTTTCTTTTTTCTGACCATTATTAATAACAACTTGTAACCAACATTCTAAACAAAGACAAACATCCATAATCCATTTTTTTGAAACATGGGCATAGTTTTCTAGGCTACTAGGCTACTGACTGGGAGCAGTGATAATATTATGGCGATGCAAAGAAAATTTAGGATTGTAGACAAGTCCTGACTGGAGTATTGTGTGAGACTTGATTAGCTCGATCAGCAGTCATGAAGCTGTTCTGGATGTAGAACTCAGAGGAAACTTTAACAGAGGTGCTCTGAAACATTACATCATCTAGGCCAATCAATCACATTGAAACCTTACTTTTCCTAACCAAGAATGAATCCACAGCCTCTCATTTTCTGTGGAAACAAAATCAAAACCTCTTCTCCAAAGCAACATATCTTTTGACTTATATTTTGAAGTCAAGTCATTTTCCAAATATATAGGTTGGATTAATCCTGTAGCATTTATAATCAAATGTCTTTTAGCAGCTGTTGATCCTTCACCAGCAGTTAAACAATTCAAAGACAAAATGATAACATACAGTTTCCAGATTCTGTGTGTATTTTCCATCTTTATGTGGCTTTTTAAAAATTCTATTTCTTTTATTTTTATTTTTAATTTTTTTTTCTTTTGAGACAAGATTTCGCTATTTTCTTTGGCTATCCTGGATCTCACTCTATAGACCATGCTGGCCTGAAACTCACAGAGATTCACCTGTCTCTGCCTCCCAAGTGCTGGGATTAAAGGCATGTGCCAGCACACTTGACTATATTTCTCTTTTTAAGGACTTTCTCTATTCTTTTTTTTTCTCCTAAGCCTATGTATATTTTTAAACACACTATTAATCATTTAGATATTTTTCTTTTTTCTGAATCTGTCTTTGCTGTATATTTCTATCTTTTTATGATCATATGAGTCTTTAGTTTGCTAGGGACATGACAAGGATTAAAGTCACAGCTTTGGTGACTGGATCTACCCCACTCCTTAGCTTTCTGAGAGTCTAGCTTTGTGGCAAAGGTACTGGTGGGAGCCATGCTTTTACCACAATTCTGTGGGGATTTTTAGGTCCATGCCACCACCAAGAGGCCTGATACTGGCTGCTCATGTGTTTGGTGGCAGAGCCTCTTAAAGAGCTGTGAGGTTTTTGCTGCTAACACTGGGACAGGAGGCCTTTCTTAAAGGATCTGTGCCTCTGCTTGCCTCTAGCAAACAGAGCCCACCTGAGAAAATGCTTCTACCAAGAAGTCATGTTTAACTCTGTTCTATGTCTAGAATCCCTTCTCAATCTCTTTCAGGTTTTATGTGGATGCAGTTGCCCCACATTGGCACCATTTGTAGATGAAATTTTCTGTCCTGCCTAGTCCTGCAGTCATTCAGTCCTGAAGAAACACACAGAGGCTTATAACAATTATAAATAAACTGTTTGGCCTATTAGCTCAGGCTTATTATTATTAACTAGCTCTTACATCTTAAATTAACCTATAATTATTATCTATGTTTAGCCATGTGGCTTGGTACCTTTTTTTCAGTAAGGCATCTTGCTTCCTCTGCATCTGGCTGATGACTGCAAACTGAGCCTTTCCTCTTACCAGAATTTTCCTACTCTGGTCACCCTGCCTATACTTCCTGCCTGGCTACTGGCTAGTCAGTGTTTTATCTAACCAATACAAGTGACAAATCTTTACAGGGTATAAGAGCATTATCCCACAGCACATTCAGGAAGTCAACCACTTTTAATCAGAGAAAGAAGAAAAAAAAATGTTTGGAAAGAGGAATAGCTGCATCTAGAAACAATAACATATTTTCTGTTCATTTTTAAAATGCAAATGTCAAAAATACAAAGCAATTACAGCCCCATACTTGAACATGATCTATCTTATTTCATAGTCTTTTCAAACCTGTTTTGTGTGTGTGCATGTGCACATATGTATATATTGAAAATAAGCCCCATGCAACCTGTGTATTGTGTATTCTTATTCCATTTTTACATAGATATCTGTTATGTCTGCATAATATTTCATTAACCAAGTATAACACCAAAATAAACAATTCCAGTGTGTGTGTTTATATATGTGTGTGTACATGTGCGTGTACATACATGTGTGTGTGTGGTGTATGTGTGTATGCCTGCAGGTACGTGTATGGGTGTTCAGGATCATATGTGTGCATGTGAAGGCCAGAGGAAGACCTCTGTTGCTCTCTGTGTTAGTCCTTTAAGATCCCTCTCAAACCCCGAAGCTACATTGAAGATACATTGACTTGCTAAGGCTCCCAGAATTCCCCTATCTCAGATGCCCCCTCCTGAATTGCTGCAGTTACAGGCACATGTGGCCATGCTCCACTTTTACATGAGTGACAGGGACTGAAACTCAGGTCTTCACACTTGGACAGAAAGCATTCTTATCCCCAAGGTGGCTCCCCCTGGCCCCTAAATGAGCACTTCTTACTCATCTGGACCTGTAGACTATTTTCAATGCTCTGGTACTGTAAGGAACAATGTCATGAACATCCTTGTATATGGTTTCTTAGAAAATGAGTCTCACCAATCCAGTTGTTGGGATAGAATATTTTAAAGACTTTGATAACTATGAATGTATAGTTCTCCAGTAGTTAAATGAACTTTTAGCACCATTGGCCAACTACACAATTGTTATGTCATATACAGAAGTTAACCTTGGTTTTTATGTAATCTTTTTATTTGCAGATCTTTTTAAAAAGTCTGTACTAACAAGAATTTTCCCCCAAACTCTACTAACAAAATTTCTAATACACACAGTTACTTTTCTGTTAAATTTTGGGTTAAATTTTCTGTTGCCTGAAGTTATTCACCATTATCTTTTTTAAATTCAATGCAGGTCCCTGGAACAGAAGAAGGTAACTGTTTACATTGGCTTACTTATCCTAGACTACCACACTAGGTCCTAAGTCTAGGTCTCTAGGGTTAGCACTGTGTGGAAAGTGAGGTTTGAATCCTGGGATCTACAGGGGGCATGTGTGATGAAGTCATCCAAGATGAATGTAAGACTTCAAAGGCTATTCCAACATCCTTTGGCAAAAGGAGAATAATTTAAAATAGCAGTAGGATAGTGTCTTTCTTTATCTATATGCATTAACCAAAAAAGGTCACACCTCTGCCACTTGGGAAATGCATTGTTGTCCCATTGTTAAGGACATCTTGATGTCTCCTTGAGGTCAGTGTCACCCATGTACATGTACATGTCCTCATATCTACATGTGCATACTAGTGGCCTTATTCATGTAGAACAAATGCAACCCAAAGCTTGTTAAACAGCTAGACACTGAGCAGTAATGTACCTTTATGCCTATCTTTAAGATACTCTTCCCCATTGGTTTAAAATGATAAATTATTATTCGAAAGGTCAGTGTCATGGTCCAGAGAATTAGCAAGACACACATGGGCCAAGGAAGGAGCAGTGGATTGGAACTATGAAAACTGTTTTCAACTTACCATGTGTCTTAGTTAGGTTTTCTATGGTTGCAATAAAACACCATGACCATAAACATGGGGGGAAAGCTTATTTTAGCTCACAACTCTTGGGTCACGCTCTATACCTAAAGGAAGTCAGGGCAGGAACTCAAACAAGGCAGGAACCTGGAGGCAGGAGCTGATGCAAGGCCATGGAGGAATGCTGACTACTAGTTTTCTCCTTTTGGTTTGCTCAGTCTGCTTTCTTATAGCATCCAGGACCACAAGTCCATGGATGGCAGTTCCCACAGTGGGCTGGGCCTTCCTACATCAATCATTAATCAAGTAAATGCCCCAAGGGTCAATATTATGGGTGGGGGCACTTTCTCAACTGAGATTCCCTGTAGCTTGTGTCAAGTTGAAATCAAACTATGTGAGTCTGAGTTGTATTTCCTCTGTGAATCTCAAGTTGTTTTTGCCCTATGCAGAAGAAGATAAAACACTTGGAAGAGGGGCCTACCCAGGTCTGGGAATTCCAGGTCCCTGAGAGAGAACCAGGGACTTGTTAGCAACTGAAATAACTGTGAAACCGAATGAAATCTACAGTGAATCTTAATGTACTAAGACATCCAGATAACCTTGCAACCGGCTTTGATGTAGTGATGTAACGCTCCAGAGGGGCAGATGTTCCAACTGGCTAGTGATTTTTATGGATGTGTGATCAATGGGCCTATCGCTGACTCAAATGCTATTGCAAGTAATCACAGTCCATTCAATTAGGAGTATCCAGTCTGTGGTCAAGTGGTCAAGCTTGGGCAGAACACAGAGCAACAAGCCAAATTAAGGCAAGATGGCCAGGGTGTGCATGCTTCCATGACTGTATGGCTCACCATAACTCACCATAACTGGAACAATGCCTTATGAGTCTCACATCAGAGTATAACCAAGGTCCCTTATAAGTATCAATGGCTGGTTAAAAATCCATCCATGATGAAAAACGGGAACAGTAATGGCATGCTAAGGAGGCATGACTGAACTTGTTTTTTGTTTTTTTTTTTTTCTAGATATTTCTGTTGCCAAACATTCTTGCTAAAACCAGCTTAGGGGGATGGGGGATTTAGTTTTTACTTTAAGGGCACAGTCACTCATTGAGGGAAATCAGGGCAGGAACCTGGAGTTGAGAACCAGGAAGAATGCTTCTTGATGGTCCCCTAGGCTTATGCTTAGCTAGCTTTTTCAGACAGCCCAGGGACACCTGCCTGGTGGTGGCACTGCCCACTGTGGATTGCACTCACCTACATTAATAATCAAGATAATCCCCCAATGGCATGACTATAGTTTAATCTGATCTAGGCAATTCCTCGATTGAGGTTCTTCCTTCAGGTTACTGAAGGATGTGTAAAATTGACAGTTAAATTTATCTAAGACAATTATCAAGGAGGAAGCATTGAGAAAATAGATCCCCGTTGGTTACTAGCTGATAGCTGCTGGCCTACATCAGAACCTTGGAAGATTACCTCCTCTAGCACAAGAGGGAATGAGAAGGCAATGGCTTGTGCAGATAGTAGGCGTCCCTAAACATCGCTGCCCCCACAGCAGTCCTTCAGCTTAACTCTCTCCACATCAGGATGCCATTCACCAGTCAACTCTCAGAGGCCCCTCATTAGCCACACAAGGTCAACCCTGTATCCTGAAGCATACTTTATTTTCTTTATGTCAACCACTCTGTCCAAAACGTTCTTCCTGCTCTACTTGTTTGCCATCTCCTTTAATTTAAAAATTACATCTCTCTCCCTGACAGTAACTCCATTTTCTAGCAGAGAACCTACTCCATAAATGTTACACAGTCTCACTGAACTGTGTGAATAAACCAACAAATGAATGAGTGCATGGGTGTATGATAAAGCCAAAGTTTTTTTTTAACTAATTTATCTGTAATACCCCTTAAAATGCCTTCTGATGAAATAGTTTGTATTACTTGGAAAATCCAGTCATACGTGCTCTAGGCTATAAACAATCCATGCAATTTTACAGCCTCCAGAAGGTAGTGCTCCTGGGGGGGAGGGGAGAGCGGGACTGTAGACTATATGAGTTTATGGTTTCTAAAAGCCCCTAATGACAATGTGAGTCATTAGGACTTAAGATATAGCCATCCCAGTATTCTCCTGGAAGCCCTCAATTATATTCACTGTGCAGTCTGACCCAATATGTCATACTTTCCAGGATCTTATCACCAGGAAAAGCCAGGACCTTCTCATCCATCACAAAACCAAACCACAGGGAAGAGTCCACCTGCCATCGCCAGGTAAGGAGGCAGGAATACCTGTTATTCTCATGTCAACAGATATGCGTCCTCTTAGATCTTACACAGTGACTCACAAGACTTCTAAGATCAGGAAATGTTAGCCCTTCTGCTCTTCAGCCCAGTGACAGACAGGTCTCAAGGAAAACAGGGACATCTCCATCTGCCACAGAATCTAATAATGCCTGCCTGCTATTTATAAATGATTGGGTGTTACAGGAAACTAAGGGGCCTAAAAACAAATAGTAACTGGATGGGATGGATGCTGATCAGTGTTGCAGGAAAAGTGGGTTATCTCCAGCTGATCTCAGTTCACGACCGCATCAAAGTCCACAGACACATTTGATGAGTACTGTGTAGGTAAGCAGGTGTTGAGAATGTTACTTCTGATGATGTAATCATGATCAATTGATTGTGACATCATCACCTTCACTGAGGAGTTGAAGAATCAAGGGAGATTCCTTGACCAAGGTCGCTTGATAAAAATTAGTAGTGGCTTTCTCAAAATGAGTGCTAACTTTTGCAAAGTTTGGACTCTGAGTTGCCTCTGTGAGACTCTGGCTAATGGCTGTGACCTCAGTTCCTGACCTTACACACTACATCCTCAGCAGATACTCTCCAGCCCCCACACTATCCCTCTCAGAAAAACATATGCACGTCTATTCTTCCGACTACTTTCCCCACAGTTACTTCTCTCCTATGTGAAAACACCTCCATCAGTTGCACCCAAGGTTAGAGCCACACTGAATCCAGGACATCGTTTCATTCATTCCTCAGATGGTAAAAATGAAGTCCAAGAGACAGGTTTCCTTGACCTCTGAAGTTAAGGGCAACTCCAGAGCCCGAGCCCCTGATGCCATAGCAACTTGATTCTAACAACGCTGCCCAATAGTCATGGCTCTCCTTGCGCATGCCCATAATTGAGATGCTGCCTTGATGAATAATATTTACTGGAAATGTCCACATTAGTGATTGAAGAGAAAGGCTGTGAAGTAGGAGCGACTGGATTCAGACTGACAGATATCACCACTGCTGAGCAACGAATTTGGACGGTGTTGGTGTCTAAGCTTAAAACGGAGCCAGGAACATAGCAAGAGCCTAGTAAATGACTTCTCTATATGATTGCCAGGCTGTGAACCTCGGAGCATCATAAGCCCCAATTCCCTTCTCCTGCCTCATTTTCTTAATGTGTCCTGTTTTGTACCTTCAGTAAGCTCTCATCCTTTGGACTGCAGAGATTAGGACCATTGCTTTGTAGCTCTTAGGAGGCTGTTTGCTACATAAGTCCCTATCTGACCAAACAGCCCTTCTTACACCGATTTCCTAATGGAGGGTAAATCACACTTGAGAGAAGAAAATGAGCTATTCCTTCTGGCCTGTACCCGTGGTAGTTATTTGATGCAGTTTCCGCTTATTTGTTTGTTTGATTTGTTACACAAAGTCTAATTTTAATTGTTCTCTTAATTAGCTACCTCTCCTAAGTCTCCTTCTTGGACTTATCTCCCAGAATAGTTTTAAATGAGGGTGGTAACTGAGTTCATCTCACCGGCCCCTTCCTGCCACTGAAGACATGAATCTCATTCGTCTCAGGGTCAAGTGCCCTCCCCATGTCAATGATTCCCAAGTCCCTTTCTCCTGACCAGGCCCCTCTGCTTGGCTCCAGACCTGTGCATCCAATTGTACAATAGGCCCTTCCCTTAGAGAGGTTCCAGACACCACAAAACAATTGTGCTGAAATCTGCTCTCACTTCTAATACTACCCCTAAACTTTCCCACTCCTGCTGAGGGGAACCCTTTTCTAACCCAAAATTCTATCTCCAAAACATGTCTTGAATATACCCATTTCTCCTCCCAGCTCTATGCATAGACCAACCCCCACCAACTCTTGCCTAGACTACTGCAACAGCCTTCTATTGACACCAAGAGCATCCATCCCACCCCATCCCATCCCTATGGGATTACTTCTGGGCTCTCGCAGAATAACCTATGACTTCTCCTCTTTGAGCCTTCCCACCTCCCTGGAACATGCTTCCCCATCCTTTACACTCTTTGAGCAGCTCCTCATGTGTGATCTCTCACACCACAGCAGCTGACACTGTCTACTTTTCCTGGGACATCTGTTGGGTCCATTAGGACTCTCCACAGCCATGTCTTCCCTGCAAAACTGCTCCCCACTAAAGTAGAAACCAGGTCTCTCCTTCATCTCATAGTCCCCCAAACACACGTTCATTAGAAAGTGCTCGCCCTACTTGTTGGTTTTAGTTGTTTTAAAATGCTGTGTCTATCCTTACAAACGATGTGCTTGATACCTAAAAGGTTCTGGAAGGGCACCCCATCTCGTTTAGCATTCCCCACAAATTCTTTAAAGTCAGAGAGAAGCTCTGTGACTCCTTTTTCCCCCAGTCATTTAACAGAAACATTGCATTGGCTCCTTGTGGGGGGACACCGGTTTTAACAGTCAAGAGCTTGGATGTCAGAAGCGTAATCAGTGATGGGGGCACTGTCTGGTTCTTAGATAACCTGCAAGCATTTTCAATTATAAAGCCATCTGTAAGGTTCTTGGGCTTTTGTGGGGGCAACAAAAAGAAGACACGCCCTCAGTTGATTTCACTGGTGCTAGGAAAAGGTCAGGTTGCTTTTAATTAGACTAGAGGCTTCTGCCAATAGCACAGTCCTCGAGATACAGCACGGCTCGTGTAATTAGATGGCATTCTATTAGCACCTGGAGCTTACGTTGATGTTGACGGGAACACAAAGTGAAATAGAAAGAGTGCAAAGTGCAGATGTGAGTGAGCAGTCCTGGTCACACCACTTTTGTGATTAGAAGTGCATATTGCTGTTTTGATTGATTTGAGTTATATTTTCTTAATCCCCTCTTGTGTGGAATTCCTTAGAATCCCCAGCATTTTTTTTCTCATCCAGCTCACATTTTCAAAAGGTGGGAATTTCTATGCCTCTCTTCCTAGTTATAGCTGCCTCTCAACTGGTGGACCGTTCTATATAATTAGAGCCCCACAAAGGGAGGGGCTTAGTCGCAGCAACTTGATATGCCATGCTTTGTTGACACCCATGGGAGGCCTGCCTCTTTCTGAACAGAAACAGAGGAGTGGATGGGAGGGGGCAGAGGGAGGTAGGGAGGAGGAAATGGAAGGAAAGGAGGGACAGGAAACTGTGGTCGAGATGTAAAATAAATTAAAAATAATAATTAATAAAAACATAAATTTAAAAAAAGAAAGAATATGAGCCCCAAACACACGGATGTTAGTAGCTACAAGACAAGGCTGAACTCAGCTTAACAAAGCCAAGAGTGATGACATGGTCTCACAAAGATGACAGTATGTCCACCAGTCCCTTAGTTCCACGTCTAACACTTGCCTGACTGGAGAGAGGAGAGGAAAAGTCAACCCCTGCTGTTTTAGAAAACTGACAGTTCTTTAAGCGGGTTCCGTAAAATATGCATACTTTATAAATGTCACCTTGAGACGTACCATTAACTTTGCCCATATGTGGGATTTTGTCTGTCACAGGAATGCTAACACACCGATTCTGACATTTTCTTTAGCTCTTCTTACATGCCGGCGAAGCACAGTGTACATGTCAGAGGTAAGGGCACTGTCAGTAAGAACTGTGGTATAAACAGGTAAGCCAGCACTCTACGAGAGTCCTGCACGGTGACTCCATGTTTGGGAACTAGAGCCCCTGGGCTGATGTGCACAGTTGTGATGGTCTCATTCTCACTGATGATTAGTGTTCCATTTGTGTTAAAGTTATACAATAACTAATTTTTATTTGAATTCATAATGAAATAATCTTATAAGCATTATGGTTGGAAGCCTTGGTATTGACATCGTTCCAGAAGTGCTATAGGCTCAACTCTTTCTGGGAGAGAAATATCCGGCTCTCAATCTGTGTATCTCTTTAGCTACCTCAGATGTATCTTTGCAAGGGAGTCATAGCAGTTAGTTATTAAACTGATAAGAGCACACTACAGCGGTCTTCACCAGACGGGGGATGGATTCATCCATCAGTCACCAATGGTTCATGAGCACACTGTGCTCTCCATCGTCTCTAATAGTTGTAGACAAATTTCCCCCAACACACTGGGTGTAATGGAGAATTATCTTAAGAAATACAGATCTATAAAATGAAAGAAAATGGTACTAATAACTTAAATGACCCCTCTTACTGATCATGACATAAAGCTCAGAAAGCTAGCATATCTCCGCATGAAGCAGAGGAGGAACACAGCCCTGTGCCTGCAGGGGGCTCAGCATTGCCCATTGCCACTTGTCTCAGCTACTTCTGCCATGTGCATTTTCCCTCACGATTACTGTGTGCCAGGGAAGTACTGCATTCATGTCTCTCAGCTGAGCCATACAAGGGTATCTGGGGCTGAGAAGAGCAGACTCTATAGGGTACAATGGAGGAGGTGAGAGCTTCACCTCTTGGACACAGCTCTGCCTCTGACTCTTCAGCAGGGCCACTTAGATCCAGTTAAATCCTTTGAACTTCACCCTTCCACTGACAAAATGTGAATAAAAACTCATATATGAATATCAGTACAATATTCACACAGGCACACTCAGTTGTTTATGGAGAGCAGCGGGCTATATTCCTGCCTGGATCCCATATTGGGAGTACAGTTAAGCAACATGGCTGGCTTGCATAGTCCAAGAGAGCTGTGATTAACACATGATCTCCTTCCATTTCGAGGACTCAAATGCTATCCACAGGAGTACTGAAGGTCAGATTTAGGCAGGTAAAGATAAGATGGCTTGGAGTATCCATCTGGAGAGTACCAGGGATGAACGGGGCCAGAAGAGGCTTGACTTGTGGGTTCTGAAATTGTGCTTCGAGGTTAGAGAGAATCATAACTCAGGGATGCGGCGAGCTCCCTGACCAGCAGGAAGGAACAGCCACCAGACGAGGATTCTTCCCAAATCACGCCTTATTGGGGCCTCTTGGTTGAAGGGAGAGCAGGAAGCAAGGGGCCCTGAGCTCTGAGCTGTAGCTGCTTATATAGGGAGTCTGTCTAGCAACCTTTGATACTTAGATACTTTGATACTTTAACTGCTTTTCTGGAGACCCACCGGCCGGAAAGAAAGCAGGGGAACATCCTTGTCAATTACAGACCACAAGGAAGTTCCCCTGCCTGTCAGGGGGAGTGTGGGCAGTTAGATCACAACAACTCACCCTGTTTTCTGGTGGAAGAACTGCAACCTTTATTATGGTATCAAGCTAGGCCGGGGCCAAATGTCATCTTGTAATGGCAGCCACTCAAATCGGCTCCCAGCACAGGGAGACTGGCGAGTCTCTCCCTTAAAGATAGAAGCACATGTGGATACAAAGCAAAGCAAATACAATCTGGAACCAAAGTGTTAAAAGAATGGCCACCACCACCAGGAGTCCAGTCCATCTTTTGTGTCCTGAACCCATCATAGAGGAAGCTAGACTTCTTAAGAAAGCCTAAAGTGTTGGTGGAAGTCCATTTACAGCCTCTGCAAGACATTGGGTGTCAATTTGTAGTAAGAAGGCCACTAGTTAGTTCCCAGCCGCTTAGCCCCCAAATAACCGCACAGATACTGTATTAATTAAATCACTGCTTGGCCTATTAGCTCTAGCTCCTTACATCTGAATTTAACCCATTTATATTAATCTGTGTATCACCATGTGGTTGTGGCTTACTAGCTAAAGTTCTGGCATCTGTCTCTCATGGGAGCTACATGGCTTCTCTCTGACTCTGCTTCCTTTCTCCCAGCATTCAATTTAGTTTTCCCCACCTACCTAAGTTCTGTCCTGCTATAGGTCCAAAGCAGTTTCTTTATTCATTAATGGTAATCACAGCACACAGAGGGAAATCCCACATCACTAGCGGTGACAGAATACATATTTGGCCTCCATTACTTTCTCCTTCCATCAACAAGCACACATCATAATGTATGGTCAGGACTTGAAATGTTGCCATGTTTAAAGATAGAGAGTAGAGACAGCCCTCTCCTTCCACTGACCAATGCTTCCCCATCAGTTTACTCAGTGAATACTCATTCTACTGAATAGAAGTTTACTTCTGATTCATCAGATGTAGCCATGCGTCATGTGAGAAGATGATGGGCCATCCGCACTCATAGACTGACAGTTTACTGGTGGCTCGGCCCCACACTGGGATCCATACAGATGCCTTCAGGGCAGGCAGTCATAAATGATAGTAAACTCCACATCTCTGAAGATGCTGATGTCATTATTGTTACCTAACAAATGGAAAAAGAATCTTGGATAGGTTAAGGTTGTTTCTGGGTGGTTCACTTACAGATAAACACAATGGGCCCAATGTAGTGATAAATTAATTCAAGATAAACTATAAAGAATCTCAGTAAACAGATCATACGTGTGTGTTATAACACATAAACTAGAAGAGGGTTCAGAAATGTCTTCTTATATGCCAAGATAGTAATAATATTTCTCTTTAGAGTTGGAAGTGTGGATTTTTCTTTTTGTGGGTGTGTGTTTGTATTTAGGCTTGTTTTGTTCTGTTTTCCTTTGGAAAACATACATATGGTTTTTTCCCTATAAAGTTAATTTTTAATTATGTACAAATATAAATTAAAATCTTCTGATAAATACTGACATAATGCTTGATTTTAAATGCTGTACTGTAAGTGGCAACAGAGGAATGTAAGGTTGTCTCTCTGATAATACTAACCACACTCATAAGTTAGCATCCCTGGGCTGATCGCAAGGGTTAGAGTTTGGGCCGACACACATAGCTCCATAAGAACTTTAAAACATTAGAAAGTGTTCACAGCAGTGCAGTTTTACCCCAAACCATTTTTATCAGGCTGTTTTGCCTCTTGGGGGGTCAACTACCCACCCCAAAATCTTTTCTACTGACCTTTCGCCAATCCCTTCATTGCTGTCACCTTCCCGCTTTCAGGCTCCATACGAGTGATCAGCCTCAAATGTGAAGCCTGGAAGCTTAGCTGCTTTCATTCGGAGGGAGGAAAACCATGATGTGGTGGGATACAGACAGCATGCTCAGAACTGCTCATTTATTCATTCATCATCCCACACAGAGCCAAGCCAGCGGCATTTGGAAGAAAATAGTGTGGCAATTTTGCTGTTTCATTTCCCTAGATCTGTGAACAGACTACAAATGCATAATTATTTCCAAATGCTCTTTTTAAAAATAGGACCTCTTAAATATTTAAGCAAGGCATAGGGGGTTGAACGATAATGAATCAGTTGCCATAATATCATAAAAATTTCATAGTCTCTGAATTCTATAGGACACAAAGCACAAACTGAGTAATAAGAAACGCTGATAATGCTGATTTTCCCTCTCAAGTTTGTTCTTACTGCTTCGAGCCACGAAGTAAAGATAGTCGCTCCCATTTAAATAATATGCCCCCTGCATTCTGCTCTAGGATAACTTATAAGAAAGTTTTTAAGCCAATGTCCTTCTCACAAATACAGGTCTGTAGGTTTGCTCTGAAGACTGCAGGGCACGTGGTCCCCATCTTTCACATGTGATTCCTCGGTGCCCTTAAGACTGGCTATGTCATCAGCACACCGCTAGGTTTTTAAGTCAGCTTAGGGCTGACTTTCAAGTGCTCTGTTTCCATGCTTGTCTCCTTCCATGTTTGATGTTTGCCATGATGGTTGAAATTTAGGTTATTTTGTGACTCTTGGCTGCTCAACTTTTCACTCACATTTTGGTTTTCTTCCTGCATGTGCTAGATCCAACTCGCCTTTACTTCCCATGTTTCCTCATTGTCTGGGAGGTATATTTTTCAAAATTATTCTACTCTTGGTTACTCAACATTTTAAATAAAGAGAAGTTTAAAATAGCTGAAAGTTACATTCTCTTTCCAAACAGTACCAAAAAGTAAAAATAGTTTAGCGGTATTTATTCTATACCATTTAAAGGTTAAGTTTTATTATTTATCAACTGAAATTTTAGGAGAAAATTTTAGGTTGCTTCTTGTTCTTTTTCTTTTTGTTGTTTTTGTTTTGTTTTGTTTTGTTTTCAAGACAGGGTTTCTCTGTAGCTTTGGAGCCTGTCCTGGAACTAGCTCTTGTAGTCCAGGCTGGCCTCGAACTCACAGAAACCCATCTGCCTCTGCCTCTGAGTGCTGGGATTAAAGCTGTGCACCATTACCACCTGGCTATTGTTCTTAAGATCATAAATTGGTAGGTAAAATTAACTTAGTATTATAAATGCATCTAGATTCTAGGTGATCAGTCTTCTTAGGCCTTGGTAGTCCCAGCTTCTCAGTAGGAGAACCGCAAATGCAAGGATTTTGTGGAATACAGAGTGAGTTCATAGCCAACCTATGCAACTTAATAAGGCCCATTTCAGGAAAAGGGGGGGGGGACTAAAGAATGTTCTAGAGTATTCTAGGGACATTTCCCAGAAGTTAATCATTTGCTTAGCATGCACAAAGCCCTGGGTACAAATCCCATTTAAAACACACACACACACACACATTCTTAGGCTCAATAAAAACATCATCACTGGCACAATTAAAATAAAACTTTCAAAATATCAGCACTATTTTTTGTTCTTAGTAAATATCTGCCAAAACTTCATTTATCTAAACAAAGTTTTGGGTCAAAAGTAGCTCATACTCCTGAAGTTCTTGCTCAGCTGCTTGCCAGGATGACAACCCAGTCATATGTCTGATACTGAGGCAGGCTATATGCTTATAATTGCTTATAATGCTGACCTGACTTCCAGTTTATATGTGTTATCTCTCTCTCTCTCTCTCTCTCTCTCTCTCTCTCTCTCTCTTTCTCTCTCTCCCTCTCTCCCCCTCTCTTTCTAGAATCTAACTATGTAGCCCAGGGTGGCCTGGAGCTCTTTTATGTAGACCAGGCTGACCTCAAACTCAAAGAGAAATCGGGCTCACTCAGCAGTTCTGGGATTAAAGGTGTGTACCACCACACCTGGTTTATTTGTTGCTTTTGCCTGGTGTTTTATTTACATAGTGTTTATATACTCTTATGATTTTATGGGTTTTTTTTAGGTATTCCTATCTTAAATTCTAAAATATTCACAAATGTCTTGGCTGTGCTTGGCTCACCTCCTGACCTAAATGTCAAAAACTCCAGCCTTGGTTTCTGTTTACAAGAGTAACATGTGGTGGAAATGTTTCATTTTGGCTGAAGTATGTAGAGAAAACACCATATCAGAATTTGATAAATGGTGGTTTCTTAATGATGACATGCCAGGCAAAACAATAACTTTCTATATTCTATAAAATGTACCAGTTTATTTACATTTCAGTTCACTTCTAATCCAGGCATGGCAAATTGTAGCATCAACATATTGGTCAGTTAGAAATAATGGTTCACAGACATGATCCAGACTTCCAGTGTTAACATGTGTATGAGCCACCATTTTCCCTCTGGGAAAATTCTTGATAAAAAAAAAAAAAAAAAAAAAAAAAAAAAAAAAAAAAAAACTACAAAGCTAAGACTTCCTTTGACTTGAAACTTCAAGTCCATGATTGCTGGACTCCACCACTCTTGGGGCTGAGGCAAGGCCAAATATCACACAGTATGTGATGGAGCAAAGCTGCTCATGGGTATCAGGAAGCAGACAGAGTGAGAAGTGGAGTCCAGGGATAAGGCAAACCCTTCAAAGGCATGCTCCCTGTCATCCAGTTCCTTCAAGTAGGACCCACATCATAACTCATCAGTAGATTAACCCATGAAGAGGTCAGAGCCTCATGAACCAATCACCTCTCGACAGTACTACCATTTGGGGATCAATCCTTCAAGATACACCCTTGACATAGATAACATAACATGTTTGTGTCAGTCAGACGTGCCGCATTGTGACAATACATTTGTGTTCGTGTGTTTAGTCTCTATCCATGGTTGCCTGGCCCTGTTGCTTTGAGCCTATGACACAGCAGAGCATCATGGGAGGGAGTGTGTGATAGAACAAGTCTACTCATTTCCAGTCCGGGACCCCAATATCCTGTTCAAGAGCACAACCCAGTGATTGAATATCCTCCAGCTAAGGTTCATCTCCTAAAATATCTGCCACCTCTCAAGAGTATCCCATACTGTAGCTCAAACCTTCAACTTTGGGGATCCAGTTATCATCCCATCCACACAATGTGTCATTACATAATATACTCATATTATATTTGCAAATAGTACCACCAATCTCATGAGAAAAGTCTATCAGGATACTATTGTGTTAGGTGCAAATTCCCAGCTTCCAACATATGGCTTAATGGTTTAAATGTATGATTGTCAACAAATACTATCCCCTTGTGTTCTATGAAATGATAAATTTGCTTTATTCATTTTAAATAAAGTATCTGCCGAATATCCAAGTCATATTTACCATGGTTTCTCTATCAGCTGCTGTTCCAGGTTAAAAGAAAAGACATTGTAGCTTTCTTAGATTACACTTGGAGTTTCTTAATGGTATGTTCCAAGCTGGGAATGGTCATGGTAGGCTTAAGGAACTGAACGGAGTTCATTACGGCCTGGGTGGAGTGGGTAATGTGGGAAGGATGAGGCGAAGATGAAGAAAGAAGGAGAGAAGGAATTTGGAGCCTTAAAAACAGAAGAGAAGGGCCTGGAGAGGTGGCTCAATGGTTAAGAGGATTGGCTACTCTTCCAGAGGACCCAAGTTCAATTCCCAGCACCCACATGATAGCTCATAAAACTATCCGCAACTCCATTTCCAGGGAATCTAACACCCTCACAAACAATTCACCTAAAGTAAAAATAAATTATTGTCATCATCATCATCATTATTATTATTGATAGTGTTTTTCCAGACAGTGTTTCTCTGTAGCCTTGGGTGTCCTGGAACTCACTCTGTGGACCAGGCTAGCCTCAAACTCACAGAGATCTGCCTGCCTCTGCCTCCCAAGTGCTAAGATCAAAGGCATGCACCTCTATACCCAGATAAATAAATCATTTAAACAAAAAAAAAAAAACAGATGAGAGACTATTTTATTTGGGGGTGGGTAATCATGGAGGGATTTTTAATCAGGCTGCGTAACTAAATCACAGTTACATTTCTCCCTCTCTCTTTCTCACTCTCTCACCCGTGTGTGGGGGGGGGGGCACACAGAGGTCAAAGGATACCTTCCACCTTATTTGAGACAGAGTCTTTGAGGGTTGGGTTTTTTTTTCTAGTGTACTCTGCCAGGTTAGCTGACCTGCAAACTTCTAGAGATTCTCCAGTCTCTGTCTACCATTCCCCTGTAGGAATGCTGGGCTTACAGCTGCTCACTAACATCTAGCCTTTTCATGGGTTCTGAGGATTTGAACTCAGCTCGCCACGCTTGTGAGGCAAACACTTCTCACCCACCTAGTCATTTCCCCAACCACACAGTTACAGTTTTGGAAAATTACTCCCAGTTCCCAATATAAAGAGAGTGAGCAAGGTGAGTGTGGAAGAAAGGGAGTAATTCAGAAGACATTGCAGTCCATGGTGATAGGGTGTTGTCTAGCCCACAAAGATGACCAAAGACAGAAGTGGTGGGCCCAGCTTCCTGTTGGAAGGAGACAGGCTGCAACAGCAATGTGATTTCATTTAAATGCAATCTCTTCCCAGGCCATACAGACACCATGCAACGCTGTCTGCCTCAGAGATGCCAAACTGCAGTCAGGCACGGCCCTCATGATCAAGTGTTGCCCTATGAAAACACAAACACAGGAAAACCTGTCCCCACCAAGCCTGATGCAAAGGTAAGGTGGGAGCTTCTCTGCAAGCCCTTCTAACTGTCCTTGGCATCCAGTGACAGCTTGCTGGGAAGGCCCAAAGCAAATCGTGGTGATTGCCATTAATTATTTTCCCATATAATGACAAATCAGTGGGTTTTAATGTTTCTAAAATGTTTTGTTGACTCATAAGTCATTACTCTTTCACTAGATTTTTAACGTGCATGTTTTGCTGATTCTCAGAACATTCTGTTTTTTAATTGTAGGGGTTGGGAGGGCAGGGCTGAGAGAGACTTAGACTTGTATTAGTTAAGTTTCATGGATGATTAACTTGAATTTGAGTACTAGAATTCATTTCCCATCCAAAGATTTACAGGTCACATTTCAACTTCAGTTGAGCCTGACAGCCATTTCCTGAGCACTGATTGTGTGCGGCAGCATGAGGAGTCCGGATCCCGGAAACAGAGGAGAGCCAGTAATGACTAATAAGTGGCTTCATTTGTCTTCATCTGTTTCATGGTCTCTCCCTAAAACCAGCTCTGTTCACACAGTCGCTTCTCGGTTCACCTTGCACTCATGGTTCCCTCTAAGGAGAGGGAGCTCTTTGTGTCCTATCTGCTCTACCCTTCATCACCTATGCCACTACTTACCACAGACAGCACAAAAGAAGATGGCATTGCCCTCATTCAATAGCCCTGACTCATGGGTGCCCCCAGAGCTTCTCATGGCTCGTAAGCAAAGCATCTGGGATCTCTGATCAATTTCTTGTAAGCCCTATAGGATCTCAAGTTTCTCTGCTTGGCCTTATAATTAATCCCTACCTGATTCTCTAGTGGTTTCCCAATCTCTCTATGGACTCTGGAATTCTCGTTCATTTTCCCTTCGCATGGACCTGAGTCTTTGTCACTCTGCTACTCTCGTAAGCCTTAGTATTCCTGGGCTCTAACTCATTGTCTATGTAAGACCAAACTCCTCCCATAGCCAGTGTTCCAGGGCATGAGAGGAGCCTGAACTAGATCAGGATGTTCCTATTTTCAACAGCTCGACAAATCTTACGACTTGTGACAGATCTAAATCCTCTCAATAAAGATATCTGTGTAATATTCAGCAAATTGGCTGTTTTCACTTTCCATTGCTATGTTAATGGTTTTCCAAGCAGTATTCCAGAGCACAGACAAAAAGTAAAATGGAGGTCTATTACTGCATTCTACTACAGGGCACATCTCCAAGAGAACTGAAAGCAGAGCCCAACAGGATTTGAGTGTTCACATTTATAACATTATTTATGATAGTCAAACAGCAGGAAGAGAAGACAGGTGTCCATTCACAGACAGAGAGATAAACAAAACATCACACACACACACATTGTCTCAAACATAAAAAAAAGTCTGGCATGTTATACATGAATAAACTTCAAAAGCATACCCTAGTTGAAGTAAGACAGACACTAAAGGAGAAGCGTATCCCTTCTGCTATTCGTGGTTCCTAGAGCACAGAGACACCCATTAGCAAGGTGGCTCCCCAGAACTGGGAAGGAGAAGGCAGTAATGGGGAGCTGTTGTTTAGTGGGCACATAGTTTCAGCTTGGGAGGATAGAAAAATTCTTGAAAATGTATAATGGCGATGGTTTTAAAACAATATAAAGGCACTTAATGTGATAGATTGAGCACTCAAAGTGGCTAAAATGGTGACTGCTTACACTGTTTATATTTTATTGTGCTTTTAAAAAAGGTATAGCAGCATCCCGCAGGCAGCCTACTAAAGGCTCCCAGAGTAGGGGTCTTGTGTCTTCTGTTGAGGGGTGACTAGACATACCAGCACTGGTACGACTGCACTAATACCAAGCATAATACTCTGCAGTCACTCAGACAACAAGAAAGGACTGAAGATAAGCTTGGCTGCTCCTCACTGTCATTCAGAAGCCACCAAGGACTTTAACAAGCACCAGTCTACACCCTATGGCCCTCATAACCACATCTTGAAATAGTCCCAAGTTGCCCCAAGCTGCAATGTCTAAGACAGTTCTCAACCTGTGGGTCGCAGCCTCTTTGGGGGATCAGATAGCCTGCATATCAACATTTACATTACAATTCATAACAGTAGCAAAATTATAGTTATGAAGTAGCAACAAAATAATTTTCTGTAGCGGTCACCACAACCAAGCAACTGTATTAAAGGGTCATAGCATTAGGAAGGCTGAGGACCACTGCTCTAAGGCATCTGTTAGCTTAAAGGAACTAATCAGAGTAAATGAAACTTACCATGGTGAAGCCTGCCCAAGCTCTGAGCCCAAACAGGAGCCCCAGAGCCACCACCACAAGGATCACAGTGACCACAGTGACCACAGGGATGGGAAGGCTCACACTCTAGCAGGGAGCTAAGGTCTCAGACACTTACTTACTGGGATCCTTCCTGAGCTTTGCCTAGAGCAGTGGCTTGACCCTCCTAGCACTGATTATCCCTCAAGTAGAGAAACTTACTACAAAAGGATCTTCAAACAAGAGAAGAGTTTTAGTTTCAATTTTATCTGTGTTTATAAAACCAAAGAACTACTTAAGATATTGCTTATATGCAATAAATATCAGAAATTGAAAGTATTATGTACAGTCCCATGACTTTTGACAAATGAAAATACCAGGCTAGTCACTGTCCTGGTTCAAGAAATACTTTTCCACTATATCCCAATATCCTACCTGTTCCTATGAAGCCCTCTCTTCCTCGGGTTCCAGACAGCAACTCTCTAATGTGGGCCTGCTTGGTTTCTGTCCTCCCACCAGATCCCACAGCCAGTAAGTCCCAAAGAAATCACACAGAGACTCTACATTAATCATAAACTGATTGGCCCATTAGCTCAGGCTTCTTATTAACTTCTATAACTTACATTAGCCTATTATTCTTATCTGTGTTAGCCATATGTCTCAGTACCTTTTTCCTCAGGGCAGGTCAGATCTTGCTTCTTTGGTGTCTGGACAAGACTGTGGAGGAATGGGCTTTCTCCTTCCCAGAATTCTCCTGTTCTCCTTGACCCACCTCTACTTCCTGTCTGGTTGTCCTGTCTATACTTCCTGCCTGGCTACTGGCCAATCAGCATTTATTTAACATATAATTGACAGAATATAGACAATTGTCCTGCATCACTCCCCCCCCCATAGTCCTTTTTTTTATGGAAATGTGGGCATAGTTTTCCAGGCTACTTTCTGCTGGTTTGGGGTACTGGTAATCTTATGGGGACCTAAAGAAAATTTAGAATTATGATCAAGTCTGGACTGGAGTATTTTGTGAGTCTTGATCATCTCAGGCAGCAGTCTTGAATCTGTTTTGGATGTAGAACTCAGACATCTGGGCCATCTGTTTCTACCAGAGATTTCTCAGATGGTCTTCCTTGATCAAACCTGATTTTTCTTAACTGAGAATGAATCCACGGCCTCTCATTTCTTGTGGAAACAAAAGCAAAATCTCTTCTCCAAAGTAGCATACCTTTTGACTTCAATTTTGAAGTCAAGGTATTTTCAAAATACCTATCTTGGATTAATTCAGCAGTATTTATAAGTAAATATCTTTTAGCAGCTGTTGCTCCTTCCTCAGCATTCAAACAATTCAAAGACAGCATAATAACATACAGTATCCAGATTCTCTGTGTATTTTCCATCTTTATGTGGCTTTACTTTAACCTCTATTTCTTTTATTTTTACTCTTACTTTTTGAGACAGGTTCTCTGAATATCTATGGCTGTCCTGGAACTCCCTATGTAGACCAGGCTGTCCTTAAACTCACAGATATCTTCCTGCCCCTGCCTCCCATGTACTGAGATTAAAGGTGTGTTCCACCACACCTTAAACTCACAGAGGTCTGTCTGCCTCTGTCTCCCAAATGTTGAGATTAAAGGTGTGTACCACCATACCCAACTACTCTTTCTTTGTTTTTTTTTTTATTTTCAGGACTTTAATCTTTAACCTGCATATATTTTTAACACAATGTAAACCACTTAGAGATTTTCTTCATCTTTGACTCTCTCTTTACTGTATATCTCTCTTTTTTATGACCACATGAGTCTTTAATTTGCTAAGCAATATGGAGAGGATTAAAGCCGTAGTTTTGACAGCTGAATCCAGCCCATTCCTTAACTTTCTGAAATTCCAGGCTCAGAGCCATGTTTATTGCCACAACTCTATGGGGCTTCAAGGTCCTTTCCAGCAAGCAAGCTGCAACAATACATTCACAAACAACACTCAAATGCTCTCTCTGTAGCCAGACCTCCTTGCCTCACAAAGAGTCAGAGTTTGCACTGGCAGGACAGCCCAGAAAGCCAGCATTTTTAAATGGTGTGGCTTTTTTTCTTGCTATCGCTGAAAACCAAAAAGCATGTGGTCAGCTTTTATCAACACCATTTAAGTTTTCTTAGCAGGACCTCTTAAAGGAGCTGCAAGGTTTTACAGCTAAAGCTGAGTCAGGAAGCCTCTCTTAAATGAGAGTGTTTGCCTTTAGCAAGCAGAGCCAACCTGAGAGAGTGCTACTATCAATAAGCCATGCTTAATTCTATTATTTTATGTTTAGAATTAGTTCCCAAGCTCTGTCAGGTTTTATGTAGATGCAGTCATCCACATGTTGGGCACTATTCCGTTCACTGAGGTTTCTTGTCCTGCCCAGTTCCCGCAGTTGTTATGTCCCAAAAGAAAGTCACACAGAGGTCTATATCAATGATAAACTGATTGGTCCATTAGCTCAGGCTTCTTATTAACTCTTATAACTTACATTAGCCCATTATTCTTATCTGCGTTAACCACATGGCTCAGTACCTTTTTCCGCAAGGCAGGTCACATCTTGATTCTTCAGTGTCTGAACAGGACTGTGGAGGAATGGGCTTTCTTCTTCCCAGAATTCTCCTGTTCTCCTTGACCCACCTCTACACTTCCTGCCTAGTTGTCCTACCTATACTTCCTGCCTAGCTACTGGCCAATCAGCGTTTATTTAAAATATAATTGACAGAATATATTCGATTGTCCCGCACCAACTGCCCTGTCCTTCCTAAAACCCTGTCTAAACAGAACAAGAGAGTGGCATTTTTTTTGTTCCCAGCTTTGTTTCCCTGAGCATAATGCTTTTGAGATTCGCTCCTGTGGTTGACTGTATTCTGTTTCCCGCTAATTTTGTATTGTACTCTTAATGAAGGAGCATGCCTGAATGTCAGATACAGGAGGACTATAAGACTATAATATAAGCCCAGGGTAGCGTGTGTGTGTGTGTGTGTGTGTGTGTGTGTGTGTGTAATATTGGGATAGTAGACACGTATGGTTGGCAGGCCCATGATCTGAGGACATGAAAAGAAATGCAGCTGCAGTTAGGTAGGAGCAATGCATGCAGGTCAGATGGCATATAATTGTACCCATCACTGGATGGCTCATGTTGGTGCTGGAAAGACCAGACACTTCATGGAAGACCAAAGACTTGATGTTACATGTCTGATTTTGAAAACCATATGGCAGATTTTGACTCATCCTAACTGATGGACAATTTCTAACCACTCCCAATGACCACTCTCTTTTTATCCCTATCAGTCAGCATCCCAGCTATGGTTGCTTTTGTTGTGTCCATCTTCTTCAAGCATAAGTAGGCATTTCCAGGCTCCAGATCAAAATGTTCTATGCTGAATATCTCAGTTTGTCTGTGATTGGACACTGGTGGAACAAAAGTAAAATCTGAACTAATGAGTCCATAATAAATAGCTTCCCTTTGATCCTAAAATATTCCTCATTGGACTTGTACCATAGGATGTCCAGAAGAATGAATGGTACATTGGAGAATACAGTCGCCAGGCAGTAGAAGAGGCACTAATGAAGGAGAAGAAGGTAATGCTCCTACATTGTTCCTGTGGTCATCGCATTTATTTCTACATGCAGACACACACAAAAGTAGGAAGAGGGCTTGTGATGGGGCGCTCTCTAAAAGAGGAAATGGGTGAGAAAGGATAAGGGAGTACAATTTCTAGTTACTTCAGGGAAAACTTTGATGAAAGAACACTAAACATACAGACGAAATTGTGGCTTAATTTTCCTAGAATAAAGAGATATTTAAAATGGCCTCACACCTAAGACTTGGTCTTGTCACTTATCAGATGTGACCTCCCCAAGTTCATAAACAAGGTTAGCTGTTGATTATTTGTAAAATTAAAATCAGTTTGTAAAAATATCAGTAATGAGGGAGCCACTGGAAAACCATGGATGGTGTCTGGGGTGCAGGAGTCACAATGGGCAGTGCCTCCTGCTTGCCTCAAATTTCATCCCCTCACTAAATGCACACCTATGGCAGAGTTGGGTCTTTCTATCTCACTCCTTCAGGAAAAGAGCAGGGGTCATGAATACTGCAATCCAGGATATGGCAGGTCATGCTGCAGTAACAGATTCCCCACCCCCAAGATCTCTGTCATTTACCACATGATACTCTTTCTTTACCACACACCAGATTCCAGATAAATTTATTTGGTCTGTGTGAGACATTGTGTGCACAGTGTGCTTCTGCCTTTCCACCTGGCTCTCCACACATCTCCCCAGGAGTAATATACTTTACCTTTTCCTTGATCAAATTCATAGGGAGGTGCCAGCCTACCACATAACCCAAAGGACAGAAAAATTTGAATGACTACCCATTCTTCATCATAATGCGAGGGACACTGGGTTACTCAGAAATAACAGATAGCTTCTGTTGTTTAAGAACACAAATTCTCAAACAGATTTACTGCTGAATGTGAAAATACAACATGAATGAATCTGTTAATTAGTGAATAAATCATGGGTCTCCAAACCATCTAAGAAAACATAGAATTGATGTAAAAAAGTAAATTACTCATCAGTTGCTAAGATAAACAAAATTGTGGCCTTTCCCCACCCCACATACCACGTCCTAAATCCTAGAACCTGTGAATGAATCACTTTATACAGAAAAGGGAACCTAGAAGATTAAGTTGAGGATTAAGATGAGAAGGTTATCCTGAGCTGAGTAGCCCCTTGTGTTCTCCGATAAGAGGGAGGCAGGAATGTCATAGAAAATATTATGGAAGTAGAGGTCGGACTGAAGGGGGCACCAGGAGCAAAGAATTCTGGTGACCTCTAGAGACAATGAGAGCCACAGACACAGTCTCCATACCCCCACACTAGCTCTAGCTCAGAGACCCACATTGGACTTCTAACCTCCAAAACTATACAAAATATGGCTTTACTTTTAAGTCACTAATCTCATGTTAATGTGTTAACACTAGCACTATAGGAAAAGAAGATTGCCTGCAAACCTTCATAACCCTATCAGGAATTAAGTGGAACTATCCCGTTTCATAGGCGGGAGGCTGAGGTCAGGGTCTCAGTCACAACAAAGATTAGTACCCATTTCACCAAGTCTCAGCTGCTTCCAGCTACCATGACAGTTCTCTACATTGGGATGGAGCTTGAAGTTGACAGGTCCCCTGTCCTAGGATCTCTAGCCCCTCCCTCTGTCATAGCCTCGGATGTGGCTGGCCTCTGCCATCATAGGATGGGGCATAGTGATGGTAGACCCCAGCCAGGGCTTCCTTTCTTGGGTAACCATTACCCACTGCAGTACTGCAGTCACGCAGTTGGACTTTCACCAGAAATCAACCTTAGAAGACCCAGATGTGAAAGCCCACATGTGAACTGTGCCGGGAGAGCAACGTTCAGGCCATCTGGCATCGCTGTGGCCAGGCTTGGTGCTCCTCAAATGCTCCCTTCCTCCATGTGTGCCTATGCTGCCTCCTCCGAAGACACAGAATGGCACGGTCTACACTAAATGACTGTGTTTCCCTTTTCTGTTTGCATCAGTCTTGTCAGGAAGTGTTTCCCACTTATGAGAGATAATTTAATTTAAATGAAAGATCTCCCAGGTTTATTTTGACAAGTGCATTGCAGAGTTTAAGAAGACAAACCCAAGTTTGGCCCCAATTCTTGGCCCCCATCCGCCTTCCTGATCTCTGGCAGGGTTCTGTGCTGGAGCCGTAAGCCTCTGCTTCCAAATGAATGCTTTATGCAGAGAGAGCCACAGATGGTTCCTCATCGCCCGCAGTGGAGCAGAAGTCACCACACTTAAATTGTTAGACTTCGAGCTTGACTTTCAGGTTATCATTTGCTAACTGCCCAACCACTGGCCACATGTGACCAAGAACAGCTATGAATGTAGGCCAACATACAATTGTTAATTTACTAAAACATTCTGAGACTTTTTGTAACTTTTTAAAAAGCTTTATTTGAGCTGGGCAGTGGTGGTGCACACCTTTAATCCCAGCATTCAGGGAGGCAGAGGCAGGCGGATCTCTGTGAATTCAAGGTGTGGTAGCATACACCTTTAACCCAATACCTGGGAGGCAGAGGCTGGCAGATCTCTGAGTTCATGCACAATCTGGTCTACAGAGTGGGTTCCAGGATAGCTAGAGATACACAGAGAAACCCTGTCTCAAAAAAATTTAAAAAAGCTTTATTTGTATTATTCTTATTCAAGTGTGTGTTTGTATGCACATATGTGTGGGGTGCTCACAGAGACTAGAAGGACATGATCCCTCAGAGATAGGCATGATTTTGTGTGCTGTCTGATCTGGGTGCTGGGAAATGAACTAGGTTCTCATGACAGAGCAGCAAGAGCTCTTAATGGCTGCGCCATCTTTTCAGCCTTTCTTTTTTCCTTTGAAATTTTGACTGCTCATTTCCCAAGCATGAACTTTGTAGATGACAACCTCATGTCCAGTCTCGATGTTGGACACACCTGCTAAGCCTGGGAGATTTTTCTTAGGCTCAGAAGCCAAACCCGAGTGTTTGTAAATGGGGATAAAAGTCTTTCCGCAAGACGTATGCAAAGACCAAGTGAAATAATGCATGCAAGATGCTGCTCACCTTAAGGGCAGCTCTCAGTAGACTTCGACGGCCCACCTCATTATAACATAAACACAAATAGTGCTATTCTTAAATTTAGTGTTTGTCTGTTGAAATTAGAGCGGCAGGGCTGCGTTCCGGCAGCCCTGGCTCCCACATGGCAGGCTTATGCCCGAAATAATTACACGGAAACTGTATTCTATTAAACACTGTCTGGCCCGGCTAGTTCCAGTTTCTTATTGGCTAGCTCTTACATATTAATCTAACCCATTTCTAATATTCTGTGTAGCCCATGAGGTGGCTTACCAGGGAGGATCTTAACCTGCATCTGTCTGGCGTGGGAGAATCATGGCGACTCCTCACTAAGCTTCTTTCACCCAGAATCCTGTTCTGTTTTCTCCGCCTACCTAAGGGTTGGCCTATCAAATGGGCCTAGGCAGTTTCTTTATTAGTAAGAAATCACTCCCACATCATTTGTCAGAGAAACATATTGTATGACATAGTGTTTTATATAGTAATGTCATATTATAGAGTATGCTGTATTATAGATTACTTATCAATATTCTATGCACTCTGTACAGACGACTATATAAGGACTAGAAATATAAATCATCATTCATACTGTCTATACCCATGCTATTTTATGGCATTTATCATCCTCTACACACATTTACAGTTGGGACACTCAGTGCCCTCCAGCATGTGGATGACACAGCCTAACCCTGAAGACTAGCCCTTCAGTGTGTTCAGGGGGATTCCACCTTTCAGCCTCACGCCTTCACCTCGAGTGATTCTGTCCAGTGTGTCTGGCTATTTCTGTCCCAGGCCCTGTTCTCAGCCCTTGGTCTTTTCAAATCCAGTTGATTTTTTGCTTACCTTTGCTAGCCACCCCTTGGCTTCAGACACTAAAGCTTCTTGTACCTTTCCAATCTCCTCTTCCTGGTACTGCCCTTGCCTTGACCACACTTCAGGCTGTATTTTCTGCTTCCTCTCTCTGCTCACTTTGGCTTCAGTCTCTGCAAAACCCCATCCCTCTTTTGGGATCCCTGATCCTGCACTGGAATCTCCCTCATTTCTTGGGCTAAGATCTTTGCATGGTCTGTGATGGCTTCCTCCTCTCTGCAGAATAAGATTTGACCTCCAAGATGAACAGGAGACATGTTGAGCAGTGACAGGTGCAGAGAAACACACCACAGAGGGACGAAGGAGGACCTCCCTGTGCAGAAAGAGGGCAGTATGCCACAGACAAGAAACCCAGAGAAAGTGTCCATTCAGAAAACGGTAGCCTAACTGGAGCCAGGAGCTGGGGACAGAAGATCAAACAAGGGCCTGGCTGGTGAATCTAATATGAAAGCCTTAAGGATGTAAGAATTATGCAGAAAGTAGAGGAAGATTTTAAAGAAAGAATCACATCACTGCGCATCCGGTACACTCTCGGGAGGCAGTAAAAGAAATCTCATCCATACAGACAACTCTGTCAGCTATTTCTGTGGCAAAAGACCTGGGAAACTTTGAGAAGGAAGGGGGAGGCTCCTGGTTTCAACCCCTAAGTAGGCTGACCCCACTGCTTTTAGGTCTGTGGCAAAGCAGAAGTACTATGTATGAAGGGCGGCCCACCTCACAGTAGCCAGGAAGCAAAGATGAGGCCAAGATAACTCTTTCAGAGGCAACAGCCCCCTCCATACCTCCCCCCAATGGCCAACTTCCTATGACTAGGGCTCTACCTCCAAATAGCCCATTCAGCTTTGAACTCACCAATGGCTTAGCCTCAGAATGTTAGCACCTTCATAAACCAATTGTCTCCCTGTAACACCACCAGTTAACACAGTAGTCTTTTGCGAGGACACTTCGTATTCAAACCCCAACAGGAACTCAAGGAAAGCTCACTGAGTTAAATGGAACGTGCAGTTGGGTCGCCACAAACTAAATCCAGTTAGGAACCTCACAAAAGCATCATTGTTGACATCACCTTAAGGCCAGGGCCCTAGGCACCTGAGAAGATAACTGTAACTTTTTTTTGCTTCAGGATGGTACCTTCTTGGTCCGAGATTGTTCCACAAAATCCAAGGCAGAGCCCTATGTCTTGGTGGTGTTTTATGGGAACAAAGTCTACAATGTAAAAATTCGCTTTCTGGAGAGCAGTCAGCAGTTCGCCCTGGGGACAGGACTCCGAGGAAATGAGGTGGGTGCAACTCAACCACTTCCCTTACCTTGGCCAGAAGTAAAAAAAGAAATATTGAGTTTGGGAGGTGCTAAATCCTTGTCTATCTACCCCAAGGAACACAGGACAGGATTGAAAAGACGCTGCAATGATACCCTTCCAGCCCCTTTTGCATGAACACCCTGTGAACACCCTGTTGTGCTGAGTTCAGCTCACCAGGCCAGCAGTCCTCAAGGCCACTGAATGCCCCCCCCATCATCCCAAACCTATCAGAGAAACCTATTCAGAAAGTGGCAACTCCATTCTGCCTAGTGGAGTGCTTCTCTCAGCCCCTGCTCCACTCTCTTCTCCCACCTCCCCATGTTCACTGCAGGCATTTCTTTTTTTTATTTATTTATTAAAGATTTCTGTTTCTTCCCCACCGCCGCCTCCCATTTCCCTCCCCCTCCCCCAATCAAGTCCCCCTCCCTCGTCAGCCCCAAGAGGAATCAGGGTTCCCTGCCCTGTGGGAAGTCCAAGGACCACCCACCTCCATCCAGGTCTAGTAAGGTGAGCATCCAAACTGCCTAGGCTCCCAACAAAGCCAATACGTGCAGTAGGATCAAAAACCCATTGCCATTGTTCTTGAGTTCTCAGTACTCACAGCAGTAAAAAACAAGAACTTTTTGAAGTTTGCAGGCAAATGGATGGAAATAGAAAACACTATCCTGAGTGAGGTAAGCCAGACGCAAAAAGAGGAACATGGGATGTACTCACTCATATTTGGTTTCTAGACATAAATAAAGGACATTAAGCCTATAATTCGTGATCTTAGAGAAGCTAAATAAGAAGGAGAACCCAAAGAAAAACATATAGGCATCCTCCTGAATATTAACCTTCACCAGGCGATGAAAGGAGACAGAGACAGAGACCGATGAAAGGAGACAGAGACAGAGACCCACATTGGAGCACCGGACTGAAATCTCAAGGTCCAAATCAGGAGAAGATGCAGGCATTTCTGAAGTCAAGCGTCATTCACTTATCCACAAGATTCGGTCCTCAAAGTGAGTGTGTGTTCAACCGTAGCAATTGGTTCTAAGCCGAGGTCCCACTCTCAGTGCAGGTGTGCTGATGGGAGGCCATCTACTGGCAAATCTGCGGGTTGCTGGGCCTAATAGCATAGACCAATAGTCCCACATACTTAAGAGTCTGAGGCAGGAAGACTGCAAGACTAGCCTAGGCAACTTGGTGTGACCCTATCTTAAAAGATACAAATAGATACAAATAGATAAAAGATAAAAAAGATACTAAGGGTGTGGCTTAGTGGTCAAGTGTTTACCTAGCACATGTGAGACCCTACCAAAAAAAATCAACTAAACATCAATTAATAACTATGTAAATCAATTGATCAAAAGGAGATGTTTTAGCTGAATACATATTCCAGGTCTGTTCTGTGTGTATCGGTCCTACTCCAGGGCCCTCTCTCCTCCAGGAGATTTGTAACTTGCTCTCTCACTTGGTCCTTAAAGCCACGTGGTTGAGTCCCACTCACTGGGGAGAAGCAGAGCCTTTACTAAAGTTTCAGCTTTGTTCCCAGCACACCACACTTTGCCTGCTAATGAAAGAGAGGACGCAGTGTATCAGTGCACTTACATCCTAACAGCATCTTATCAGATCACAAGCCTTTAGCAGGCTGCCTTGGAAGTGAGGAACTGTCAGCTGAGGCCACCTGAAACCCCACCGTAAGCACCTGACAAGCTGTTCCAATTACTGGATCCTGGCGCCAGTTTTTAAAATCCCCTTTCTGTATTAGTCCATAATTCTCTCTTCTTTGCACCCCTGGGACATGGGCTTCCCTTTCATGCATCTATGGAACATGTATAAGCAACGCCTACTTGGAGGTTACCGTGTACCGAGCATCTTGAGAGAAACTGCAACCTACAGAGATTCTTCTCACTGTTGTTGGGAAGCATTGAGCCCTGTCATCAGAGTGAGAGGGTCCCATGGGCCTTCTGCAACCTGACCCCTCTCTATCTTACTGAGGAACTTCTCATCGATAAGAAAATTGGGGGTGCACCCACACACTGAGACAATGGAGATGCTCTATCGGGAACTCACCAAGGCCAGCTGACCTGGGTCTGAAAAAGCCTGGGTTAAAACCGGTCTCACTGAACATAGCGGACAATGAGGACTACTAAGACATCAAGAACAGTGGCAATGGGTCTTTGATCCTACTGCATGTAGTGGCTTTGTGGGAGCCTAGGCAGTTTGGATGCTCACCTTACGAGACCTGGATGGAGGAGGGTTTTCCTCGGACTTCCCACGGGACGGAGAGCCCTGATTGCTCTTTGGGCTGAAGAGGGAGGGGGGACGTATTGGGGGAGGGGGAGGGAAAGGGGAGGCGGAGGTGGGGAAGAGACTGAAATATTTAATAAATAAATAAAGAAAGAAAAAAAAATTGGAAGAAGCCGGGCGGTGGTGGCGCACACCTTTAATCCCAGCACTTGGGAGGCAGAGGCAGGTGGATCTCTGTGAGTTTGAGACCAGCCTGGTCTACAAGAGCTAGTTCCAGGACAGGCTCCAAAACCACAGAGAAACCCTATCTCGAAAAAGCAAAAAAAAAAAAAAAAAAAAGTAAAGAAAAAAGAAAATTGGAAGAAATCAGGTTCAGAAATCTCTGCTCAAATGCAAGACCTCCCAGCTCTTCCATCTGTGCTCAAAGAGCATCATCGGCCACTTCAGCAGGAAACACATGATGAGGAAGAGGGATTCTAGGGACAATATTCACTTCATTTCATTTTCATCTGTCTTGTGGACTCGTAATGGCACAGGAAGACAGTAGCTCCTGACTCTCAGGAGCCATCTGAGTGCAAGATAGCACGATATAAATACCACGGCAGGTGCTCTTCTGAGCTGACCCCAGAAAGTCCTTTCCTTGAGTCCGTGTACCTCAGGCAAAGGGGGACGCCATACCACAAGGCCTATAAGAAGCACCCAGGCCAGACCCAGGGAAGGCTCTCCCAGTCTGCCATCCTAGTCAGCACAGAAGGCAAGCAAAGTCACATGTCCCCAAAACAAAAACCTGGGAAGTTATTCAACTGGTCAGGAAGACAGAGATCCCTGTTTGGTTTCAGATCCAGGAGTGCCCATTGCTTTAATGTTCCGACTGTATTTCCATAACTTTCTACAAACTGAAAGGCTTAGGACAGAAGAAACTCACCAATGCTGGAGAACAGAAGTCTGACATCCAGCCCCACCCCACCCCAGGGAGACACTCCGCCACCCTTAATATGTCCTTGGCTCTTGGCCACAGCTCTCCAGTGCCTGCCTCAGGGGAAACATCTACTTCTCTAGTTAGAATCTCACTGACATGTGACTACATCTAAGACCTGTTGTCCTCCTGAGGATAACCTGGGGTGAACTCCATCCAAGAGTATAATTTACCAAATAAAATGCTATTAACACTTTCAAAGCATAGAGTAATGAGCATAGATTCTAGGTCACAAATATGGATGCGCTGAAGGTACAATATTTAGCTCACGATGCCTAGTTATTCACTGACTGGACCAGCAACCATTTCATGGCTACCCAGGGTTACAAGACTCTTCCATACCTCTCTATGCAGGTACCTGGGCAGCATGGATTTCTAAAAATGATGATAGATATTTACTTGACAATTTTTTTTTTTGGTTTACAAGACAGGGTTTCTGGAACTTCCTTTGTAAACAAGCTGGCCTTGAACTTGCAGAGATCCACCTGCCTCTGCCTCCCAAGTACTGGAATTAAAGTACCTCCATCACCTGGCTTGACAATTTAAGATTTTAAGACTAAAAGACAGATTATCAATAGCCCATGTCTGTCTTTCTCACCTCCCTGACTTCTTCCTTATCCTCCCCTGTAGCTCCTCTCTCTCACCTTTCTGTCTCTGTCTCTCCACACACATTCTCTCTCTCCCTCCTTCCCTCCCTCCCTCCTCTCTTTCTGCTTTTCTGACACGGGGGAAAAAAGGAAAAAGTTTGCATATAGAACAGACACAAAGGATTTAAACAGGCTTAAGAATCTGATATTAGGACATTTGACATTCTCTGTTGTCCTTGGAGGGGGGGGGAAATCTAAGATAAAAATAGGAGCTTAATTATAGTCTTTTCTCCCAGCCTTTGCAGGCAGCGTTGCAGCTGTGAGTACAGCACTGGATCCACTAAGAAGGGACAGGAGCGTGGTTGATTGCACCTGCCTTGTCCCTAATAGTGTGGTCTCATAGAAATTACCCATGGAGTAGAATGGTGAGGCTACTTTTACCAGAGTGATTATCTGCCCTTAGCTGTCTGTGAACCCAATCACTGGACAAGCGCTGCACAGAAAGGTTCTCTGCATTGACCACTTTGTTGAGTGTAAAGGAAGAAAAAGCCCATCCTTGGTTTGAAATTAGAAGTGAAATTCAAAAGTTCCCTTTCTTCCTGAGGCTTGTGAAGAGAGTCTAGAATGCATCCCATGGTCTCGCATTTAGTGACCCTCACTATGTGTGGAAATAAAGGGAAGGCTTTCCTCCAAATGCTGTCCATGCGTAAGTTCCACTAATGCTCACAAAGAACACAGAGGCAAGTCCCAATGTCACCACCACTCTTTGTGGACAGAGAAACTGAGTATAAGAAGTTTGTCTCGGGTCACACAGCTTATAGCTGGCAGGACACCCAGACATTGAACTCAAGCCTTCATTTGTGATGACCTCATAAATAATTCATTCAAGTTATGGGGTGGGAAGGCTCTGATGGAGCTGGGAGGATCTTTGCGGTAGGTAGTCTGACTGGGAAAATTCTGCAGACCGGAAACTTAAGAGCTACCATTAGGTCCACAAGCACATCCGTTCCCCTTTGTGCAGCGCACAACGCCCGTCTGCGCTCTATGTGCTATCATACAGTTTGTGAGCTTCCGAGTTTTGGGCAAGGGGCTGGAGATTGAAACACACAGACAGAGAGACAGAGACACGGACCTCTAGTCACTGGTAAGAAGCCCTTTATTCAATAGCACCATGGAGGCTTATATACCCAACAGTCAGGTGGGCTGACAGGTGAAAACCTTATCCTCTGATCCTCAAGGCCAAGGCAACAGGTGCTCGTGAAGCAGAGCTGGTAAACAACTTTGACACAGCTTTCAGTAACTCAAATCAGAAGGAAAGTAAAGATCTCTAGCAGGGAAGAGCAGCTGGGGGCCAGGACTCCAAATGATCCCAAAACCCTTGTCCTCTCCTTGTGTTTGTCAGTCATCCTTCAATTGCTTGTTTGTTACATCCTCAAAGAAAGAAAGGAGGAGGGAGGGAGGAAGGAAGAAAGGAAGAGAAGGAAGGAAGGAAGGAAGGAAGGAAGGAAGGAAGGAAGGAAGGAAGGAAGGAAGGAGAGGGAGGGAGGGAAGGAAGAAGCAAGAAAGAAAGGAAGGGAGGGAGGGAGGGAGGAAGAAAGGAAGAGAAGGAAGGAAGGAAGGAAGGAAAGAAGGAAGGAAGGAAGGAAGGAAGGAAGGAAGGAAGGAAGGGAGGGAGAAAGAAAGATAAAGGAAGGGAGAGAGAGAGAGAGAGAAAGAAAGAAAGAAAGAAAGAAAGAAAGAAAGAAAGAAAGAAAGAAAGAAAGAAAGACATAGAGTAAGTCAGACAAGGTAGCTGACCCATGTAATGCTAGCCTCCTGAGGAGGCAGAGGTACGATGATTGCTGCAGGTTCAAGGCCCATCTGGGCCCCAGAAAGAGCTCTAGGCTGAGCTTCAGTGTGAGACCCTGTCTCAGAACACCACCACCAATATCACTTTCTAACACGTCTCGCTACAATGTCAAAAGTAGGAACTCCTTCACCTTCCCTGAGTAGCATGCCACAGCTGAGCTGCACTACGGGCACCAGCTGCGTTCAAACGTGGTCACTTTGCTTTCTGTATTTCAGATGTTTGGTTCTGTGGAAGACATCATCGAATACTACAAGCATTTCCCCATTAAACTAATTGATGGGAAAGACAAGGCCGGTGTGCACAGGGAACAGTGCTACCTCACCCAGCCCCTGCCTCTCGGCAGGCTCCCGCTGGCTCCGCACTCCAGCCAGGCACCTCACGACTAAGCAGCCTAGGCAGGTATTTCCACATCAGCAGCCTGGACCTTGTCTCATCCTCAGCTCAAAGGATTCAGCGCTTCTACCATCTGCATTCATCTCAAATTATATTGTCTGTGCCTTCAAATGATGACTTTCTTGACTCTGTAAAAAAAAATTCTTCTGTAATAGAACTTGAGATCTCAATTATGGCTTGAAAGCTTGAGTCATAGAAGAAATATATGCAATCTGCAAAAAAAAAATCAAACCTAGGTTTTAAAAAGAATTTTCTAAATGGGAAACTGTAGGCATGGTTATCATACATTAGCGATGAATAGCTAATGCAACAAGATCTGACAGTTCCGATGTTTGCAGCAGGTGTGAGATCCCCAAACTGCTACTCAGTGGAGGACTTCAGGCTGACCTCGGTTCAGAATGTCTTGCCCTAGGATGCTAATTTTTGGATGCTGAGGATGACAGTGGATGTTATTTAGTTCTCTTTATCTGTAATCCTTGAAATTCAAATATAGGGAAGAGATGTGGTATGAGAAGAAAAAAAAGCCATTGTGAATACCAGCATGCAGACAGAGAGAAGAAATAAGCGGACCGGAGGCCCCAGATGTCAGCCTACTTTCTGAACAGTGACTTCCATGGAACTAGCAGATCCATAGAGAGGAACACAGAGCTCACCCCAATCATAAAGCAAGCATTCATTTGAGTTACAGCGAAAATGTTTTGAGTAGTTTAATGATACATTTCCACTACAGGAAGAGAAGAACTGTCCTCAGAAGAGTACTGATAGTTACAATAGCATAGCACATCATGGTATTGTCTCTTCTCAAGCAATGTATTCCTACTTTATAACACAGATGAGGTAGGGGCATTCAAAGATCTCATTTAGGATAAGAAGTGAGCCTGGACTGTAACCCAGTTTGCCTGTTCCACGTCACTGCATCATCCCAGATATATTCTCTACTCTATGGGCTTTTATAATTGAGCTATGAACTCTTATAATTAAAGTTATACTTTAACAATACATATTTATCCACCTTAAATCCTTATAGTATAGTTAGTTCACCGAAATAAGGTGTCATTGAATAAATAGGTATACCATATTTATTGACACCATGGCTTCAATTATTACCAAATACCACATGTAAAATTCATGGAGCAGTTATGCAATTTGGGTTTTCATGATGAAATAAAACCAGCTAGAGCACAGGAGATGAAGTTAAGTTGGCAGAAAGCATACCCAGCCCTAGGTTAAATTCCCAGCACTGTAGAAAACAGTGAGTGTGGTGGTGCAGACATATAAGCTCAGCACCTGGGAGGTAGAGAGGCAGAAGGATCAGAATCTCAAGGTCATCCTTAACTATACAGCATATTCAAGGCCATCCAGGATTACATAAGACCCTACCTCCAAAAGAGAGAGAGTGAAAAGGTAAGAGAATCAAATGAAAATAGAACAAGCAATTTCTAGCATTGTCTCTTTTGTAAAACCGTGGCAGGAAAGATGCTCTCTGTAGTAAGATCCAGACCAGAGTTTGCTCATAGATTAGACTGTCATGCTGAGCAGAAAGGGCCTGGGCCTGGTGCCTCGTCATGCCAACTCACTGGCTGGAGATCTGAGCTTTGAACTCTGTAACAGACACAGAAATTACTTGCCAGGGACTTGTCCACTGAATTGCTGGGCAACATTCCTGTGTTTACTATTTCCAGTGTCTGTTATAATAAAAGGTGTTTCATTGCAATTGATGACTAAGGAATAGCATATGAAAAACTGAACGTATTTCTTTCTTACAATAGATACTAACACCTTGGCTTTATCTTAAGACGACATATTTGTGACTAAAGCTGGAAAGTACAGTTTTTCTGTTTTCCACTTATTGGCTTTATTGGATCCCTAGCTGAAAAAGCCAGTGATGGGTAGCATGCTAGGATGTTTCAGTCTTTCTAACTAGTATCTCATTTTCCATTTTAAAAAATGTCACTTGACACCTAGCCTCAGTAGGGCAGTGGAATTTCAGTTCATCTGATTATGGTACTTGTGAATTCCAGAGATTTCTTTTGGACGACATCTGTGTCTCCTCCAGTTATCACACAGCATTTTCATAGGCCTGGCTGTACTTCCCTCTTGCTAGGGGCTGTTGTAGATGTTGAGAACAGTGGAGTGAGCGAGAGAGACAAAGTGCTCACATAAACAGACAATGCAAGTTAGTTTCCTGTTACTCTGTATCTCTATTTGAATACATCACTGAGATCTTTAGGGGGAGGAAAATGTTGGATTTGTTTGTTCCTTTGTTTTTCAAGACAGGGTTTCTCTGTGTAACAGCCCTAGCTGTCCTGAAACTCTCTCTATAGACCAAGCTGGCCTTGAACTCATAGAAATCTGCCTGTCTCTGCCTCCTGAGTGCTGGAATTAAAGGTGTGTGCCACCATTGCCTGGTTTGATTAACTATATTATATCTATAAGCAATTTAATTAATTAATTCTAATTAATATAAAAAGTCAAGCTTGACGATCAGATATAGTTATTATTATGTGTGTGAACACCTGTTTTAAAGATAGCCTTAACTATGTATGATTCACATTACACTTGTACATCTATTGGTTTAGTCTTAGTAATATGTATTCAAGCTAAGCACACCTGCCTTTTAAAACTTGATTATTTTATGGATTGTTAATTTAAATGAAAGCAAGTATGTAACTCGATATTGTAATACTCTTGTCACTGAGGGTGAAGAGAGGAATCCAAAGCATAAGTTAAATCTTCTTTGTTTCTTGTGCTATTATCCCTAAAGCACTTTGGAAATCACACTTAAGGCAAAGTTAAGAAATATTCCTAGAATAATTATTGGCGTATGAGTACGATGCTAGATTCTAGGGATATAGATGGAGACACAGTCATGTGACTCGCAGCTCAAAGCTGACAAATTAAAAACACAAGAATGTGAGGAGGGGAGTGGGCCCTGTGCCTGGAATCTCAGAGGCCGAAGCTCACGTGTGCAACTTGCGCCATGGCCACCTACTCCGCCTGCTCTGAGCATTCGGAGATCTTCTGCAGCCTTTTGGAAGACCTACAAGGGGTTTCCAAGCGGCTGCTGGGGACTGCAGGGACCAGAGAGAAGAAGAAGCTGGTCAGAGATTTTGATGAAAAGCAACAGGAAGCAAATGAAACATTGGCAGAAACAGAGGAAGAACTACAGTATGCACCCCTGACTTTCCATAATCCCATGATGTCTAAACTTCAAAACTACCAGAAGGACCTTGCTAAACTCCATCACGAGGTGAGAAGCACACCTTTGACAGCCACATCTGGAGGCCGAGGAGATGTGAAGTATGGTACATATGCCTTAGAGAATGAGCGTTTGAATCGGCTACAGTCTCAAAGAGCATTGCTTCTACAAGGCACAGAAAGCTTGAACCGGGCCACCCAAAGCATTGAGCGTCCTCACCAGATTGCCACAGAAACTGACCAGATTGGTACAGAAATCATAAAAGAGTTGGGGGAACAATGAGAACAGTTGGAACGTACCAAGAATAGACTGGTAAACACAAATGAAATCTTGAGCAAATTCAGAAAGGTTCTCTGCTCAATGTCCAGAAAACTGACAACCAACAAGCTTCTCCTTTCCATCATCATCTTACTGGAGCTAGCCATCCTGGTTGGTCTTGCGTAGGACAAATTCTTTCAACACCATTGAACTTCCTGGAGGGAAGGGATTGTGGACCAGAATCTTGACTCTGAATGAATGGTGTTGAGCATATATATTGCTGCTGTGGGCTAACAGTTCAAGAATGCATTGCGTATCCAGACTATGGGAGGGAGGGCAATGGAAAACCACATAAATATGAAGGAACAGCAACAAGACCAGGATGATATACTAAGGTAATAAATGCTGTTTATGACTCCTTCAAAAAAAGTAAGAAGAAATACCATTAGAGTCAGCAAGTCAACTCCCATGGGCCAATCAGGAAATACTGAGGGGAACACTTAAAGAGCTGCCTACATTTCTATGTTTGTTGTGGAACTGTTAACAACAGCCAAGATTTAAAAAGTAAGGTCACCCTAAACATTCATCACTGGGAAAAGAAAACACTTGTCACAAGGAAGTGTCCTAAAACCTTCACAAGAAAGCACTCTACAGCCATCATGAAGAAATGTGGCCATAAGTGAAAACGTGGGATGAAATGGCCAGGCGATACACACACTAAAGTGTGTAAAGCTTTGGTTGTACTGTCGAGTAACTACAGGATGTGCTTTACAACACCATGCCTCTGGTCAACAGTAATACATTGCACACCGAAAATTGGATTAAGAATGGGTCTCATATTAAATATTCTTACCACAGAAGAAGGGGGTGGGCAAGTTGGGGAGGCACTGATATGTTTATTTTCTTTACTGTTTGTGTGCATACCTTTTGAGTGTATCCAGATGTACACATGAAATGTACCAATGTTGGTTTGCTCCCCTCCCCATATCAGTTATATTTCTCCAATGCTGTCTGTTAAGATGAAGTATATGAGTTAATAAATGCATGCAAGACAAAGTAATAGATTTGTAAGTTTCTTCTTTGTTGCCGCAAAGGTGGTGGGGGAAACAGATTCACCGGGCAGTCTGGCCAGGGGAGACTTTGCAGAGATGGTTAGGGACTTTGAGGGTAACCCAGGGAAGACAGCATTTGGAATGTCTTTAGTCCACATAGAGCCCTCGTGTCCTCACAGCACTATCCTAGACTTCCGGGAGTCAAGCAGTGCCCACGAGTTGGAGGGTTGGATGAAGACAATAGAGATAACATCCTCACAGAAGGGACAAGTGATTCATTAAGGATTTCTAGGGAAACTGGCTCTCTGGCTAGAAAACAAAAAAAAAAAAAGGTAATTATTTCTCTTCTTCGAGTCACAACAAAATATGTTCTATATAAATCAAATAGCTGCAAGCAAAGTCAGAATTGAGTCCTGTGTTCTCATCTAATAATTTTTATGACTTTGGGATACAGAAGGTGCTCTTAAGCAAGATGAAAACATAAATCATAAAGGGAAAGATTGATAGGTTCATTACATCAAAATTGCAAATGTTTGCAAAAGTCAGGCAAAGCCAAGAGGCAATTAAACACCACGACATGCACGTA